ATCGTGAAAACCTAAGAACTCGGAATATTTGACATATAAATACAAACACGGTCTTCGAAAACGAATTAGCATTTTTTTCGCTTCTTCATTGCATGAAAGTTTCCTATGTTTTGATGTATCTTATTTTGTTCAAAGCCGGTTACAAGTTTTCCATACCTATTGCCACTTGTTTTTAATTAGGTGGAGTACAATCATTAATATAATAATTAATCGTCTCACTGTAACCATCAATCTGAGCAACGGGGGACATTGCTCATTTTATCATTTTCACGACGAAAATACAAAAAAGACGAAAAAACAGAAAAGAGTACTAAAGCACTATTATTAAATTTAACCGTTTTTTAATTTTTTGTTAAGTTAGTGGTATAAGTAGGTTTTTTAATTCTCGCAATTATTAATACTAAGCAGTTGGCTGTATAAGTTATTCCTTTGCCCGTTTATATAGTTCATTATTTAGTAGGTAGATTTAAAAGTTAGATTAGAGCTAGTTAGTTCGTTTTTTGAAAGTAATGCAAACATTTGCCTCCGTGGCCGAACGGTCACTATGCCACGCAGAGGTCCCAGGTTCGATTCCCGGGTCGGCAGAAATATTTGTATGGCCTGCATTTATTTCTCTCGTGAGTTTGGATGTAATTAGTGGTTGTCTACGTGTGTGTCCATGGCACCCGCGACACAGGGTTTCCCTAGTGCGGGGCCCATATTGAGTGTGTGCGTTATTATTATTATTTCTCTCGTACGTTTGGGAAATATTTTTTTATGACTCCGTCGCACGGTTCGAGAAAAGCTCCCCTTGTGCCTCGGCGGCAGGGTCGCTGGACCCGTGCTGTCGGCGCACCTGGTCGGCGTGCGGCCCGTCGTCGCAGGCCTCGCGCAGCAGGCGCTCGGTCTCGGCGTGCAGGCGCGGCAGGTGCGCGGCCACGGCGGCGCGCTCGTAGCAGCCGCGCACGGCAAAGGCCGACGCGCCGTGCAGGAAGCGCGCGCCCAGCGCCATCTCGCGCTCCAGCCCTGCGGGTCGGACGTTGTAGAAGCGCGCGACCTCCGCTTCGTTCATTTCGTAGTGCTATTAGTTCTCGACCCCCTACTTCACCCGCTAAGATATCTTTTTCGAATAAAACTAACCTATCGACTAGAATTGGCAACCGGTCTTGACAACTTCTCTGAATGAAAGTGTACATACACGTACATGTGTAATAAAAATATCTAAAAACTACGTATTTCTATTTAATAAAACAAACGCTATATACATGACGCTAACATTTTTTTTTCTGCATAATACCGATCGCTAATCCACAGTCACTGTCTCCCTTGTCTCTATACCGAATTTCAAAAAAAACCTAACAAACAAAACTACTTTCGCATTTATAATATTAATTTGGAAGTTTGGATTATCTATATGTATACATTATTAATATTCAATATGTCACTTTCATTAAATGTTCTTCGATTGCACCCCCTTTCCAACTCGTAAATTCCTATCCTAAAGATGCCTGGAAGAAATTGCTACTTAGCAACAGCAGCGCCTGATGTACGATAGCCATCGAGTATATAATCAGAAATAGAGACGAAATAAGGGCCATCCATCCTTGGCGAATGGGCATTATATCACTTTTAAACATCAACTCTCGTTTGCGCTCAAATCACAAATTAGGAAACTGAAATAGTACAGCGCAAACAACTGACCTGTATGTACGTCTCCGTATATTCCAAAAATATTCTGTATTTATTGTAATAAACATAATATCTCTAACTATGAGGGCTGTTCCATTCGGTGGTGTGGGAAAAACAGCAAAACATTTTATTACAAAACAAACGGATTCGCATTACATCGGTAATCAAATATTAAATATGTAATTTTATAATTTTCGTCAGTACGTATACAATGAATAATGATCTGAATATTAGGTAGGTATCTTAGAGCATACATATTATAAAACAAGGTATCGTGTCTAGTAATATGGTGTAATATGTTTCTAATTTGTGGTCGTAATTTTATTAATAGAAATATGCTGGTTTTTTAGTTGAGTATTCGATTACACGGATACTGATTCAGTATATTTTCTTGATATTGTTGGAAGTCGTATTAGTTTGTGGGGAGAAAATGAGACACTATGTAACTGAACATATGTAAATGTAATTTTTTTCGACATGTTTCACTGAACACAAATACGCAACTGACGAAATCGTAAAATCAACATGACACGAGTTTGCGTTATACATAGGGCGCACTATAAATTTCCGGAACTGGCCACTTACAAATAAACAATATTTAAAAAATAAGTACATTTGAAAATGAAACCCTTTGGGTGTAGAATAGTTTGTTTCATTTGACTGTCGCTTGTTTTTACATTGTGGCGTCATTTTAGAAATTGGTTGTTTACATCACCATGGATTTAAGTCGTGAAAATTTTCGTAGTATGATTTTCTTTGACTTTAAGTGTAATTTAACAGCTCAGCGGAGCTTCGCTCGGCTTCAAACTGCTTTTGGCGATGAAGCACCATGCAAGACGATTATTTATAGCTGGTTTGCAGAATTCAAACGCGGTCGTGTGAATCTCAGTGACGAATTTCGTGATGGTCGCCCGTCCACTGCTGTGAACAACAAAAACATCGATGCTGTGCGACGTATGATCAAAACAGACAGGCATGCGACATACCATGATTTATGCATAGGCATCTTTAGGCATAGGCATGAGTCAAATACAATCAATACTACACAAACATTTGGGTGTGAAAAAGTCGAGTTCTCGGTAGATCCCACACAATTTGACTGAGGCTCAAAAAACGGATCGCGTCATTTGGTGCAATGCCATGCTTACCAGATTCAACGAAGGGGCGTCAAATTTGGTGTGGGACATAGTAACAGACGAAACATGGATTTATAGTTACGATCCCAAAACAAAGCAGCAATCGAGCGTATGGGTCTTTCGAGATGATTCAAAACCAACCAAAGTGGCGCGCGTACAAAATGCCTCTAAGTGGATGATTGCTTCTTTTTTTAATAAAACTGGACACGTGGCTACTGTTGCTTTGGAGAATCGTTGTACCGTGAATAGTGATTGGTATACAACCATTTGTTTGCCGGAAATTATTGACAAACTCCGTAAAAATAACCGTAAACGCCGTATCATCTCGCACCACGATAATGCCAGTTCAATTTGTCTGTACGAATGAACTTTTGAAAGTGAACAACGTTTACCTTATGTTTGCCGCGCAAATTTAAAACGCAATAAGTAAAATTTTCACGCATTCGCCGCGATGCGATCTACAATAATCAAAGTATCCTAGAAATAGGAAATTGAAAACTCTGGTATGCAGTAGTAAGTCACATAACTAGTCAATATTTATTCACCATAAACGCATTAAGTGCGCTTGCTGCCATTAACTAAGTGTGAAGGATAATTTATTAAATATAAGTGCAGTCATTACATTAGATATCATTTTTCATTTTACATAGCAAAGCTCAAGTTAAACTGGTCGATTTGAAGTGAAACAATTGACGACACCCGTCAATTGTTTCGAATTCGGGCTGTCCAATCGGAACGTATTTGTCATAGTTTTTTTTATTACGTGCAATAAACATAATTTCCTTCATTAATTCATAGCATTTATAAAGGTCACTTACCTGCCAACACATGCGTCATATAATGACTAATGTCACCCGAATGGAGTAACTCCGCTGCGAAGGCAGCGTGGTGCTGGGCTGCCGCTGCTAGGTATGGTTCCAAAACCAGTTCTTGATACAAAGCAAGTGGGGACCGGACCCGGAAGGCTTGCACCTGACAAAAACAAAGTGTTTACTTTGGAAACTCGAAATTACTTAAGAAAAACATCAACAAGGCATTTGAAGATTTATAGACAACGTCACAACTGCAATATACTATTCGTTAGAAAAAAACACACATTTTTCACATAATATAAATTACTGACGTAACTCGAAATTGTGGAATTGAGAAAACAAGATAAATAATATTTAAATTAAATAAATTATACCTTTTTTTATAAAAAAAAATTAAACCAACTTCAATAAACCGGATCCATCACCGAATTTGCCATACTTAGAGGTAGAATATTTTCTTGAAATTTAAATGGGACCAATACTAAGGTACCCCCTTTACAACAAAAAAAGAATCATCGATATCGGTTGACAAATGTCGGAGTAATCACGTAACATACGCAAAAGCATCGAGTATATAACCAGAAAAAGAGACGAAATGTCATTTAATTTGTTTGACAACTGCGCTCCGATTGGCCAGCCCGAATTCGAAACAATTGACGGGTGTCGTCAATTGTTTCACTTCAAATAGACCAGTTTAACTTGAGCTTTGCTATAATGGACGAAAATTAAAAAATTACATATTTAATTACCGATGAAATGTGATTCCGTTTATTTTGTAATTAGATGTTTTGCTGTTTTTCCCACACCACAGAATGGAACGAATGGAACGAAAACAAATGGCCCCCATAGTTAGAGGTAGTATGTTTATTACAATAAATACAGAATATTTTTGGAATATACGGAGACGTACATACAGGTCAGTTGTTGGCGCTGTATTTCAGTTTTCTAATTTGTGATTTCAGCGCAAATGAGAGTTGATATTTAAAAGTGACATAAGGCCCATTTGCCTGATGAGTTGCCAGGGATGGATGGCCCTTATTTCGTCTCTATTTCTGTTTATATAGGTACTCGATGCACAAAAAATATTCAGTCGGATTGAGAACCCGCTCCTTTTATTTGAAGTCGGTTAATAAAACGCTTTTGACGTATGATCACATGTGACTTTATTATATCAAATGAACGAATTGGTTTTGGTCTGGGTGTTCTGTAATTTGTGTGCAATCGTGGCGCACTATTATTATTAATTTAACCACGGTATGACTTCTCTTTTTCTCTGGCCCTGTACTCTTGTTTTTCATCCGAAATAATTACCGTCAATAATTTACTGTTGAATATCAAATACTCGACTAAATTAAAAAACGCATGATGCGAATAAAGCTTCATACCTGACATTGTTTTTTAATCTGTGTTACTTATTTGCCAGTAATTGTTTCGGACGGGTATAGGACGTAGTACGAGAGTACCAACCCGAGACCGTGGGGCGTGTAACTATTCTAAATATCTGACAAATAGATAAAAAGTAATACCGTGGTATATTTAATGTAAGAACGGCTGAACACGTTGCGTCGTTAGAACGAAAGTGACCCAACACAAATTTCCAACTTTTTTGGGGATACGAAGTTGTGATATACATACATTATTATTAACTTATTGAATGTGACGATGTTTGACCATCCATGATTTTGAATTTTTTTTTTGTGAAATTACTCCACTGGTTATAATTATTACTACAAAGATCGAACACTTAGAAAAAAATCCTTTGATCCGGCTGGATTCGAACCGACGTCTTCCAGCAAAACGTGGCAGACGCTATGCCAACTATGCTACGGAACGAACTCGCTGACCTTACGAATATTTCTTTGTGCTTGTTACAGGTATTTATTTGTTTTTATTGACTTTTTTGCCGAAGCATCATCTGTGAGAAATCTATTTATTCACTCACCTTTGCAGCTACATAAAAATTGTTTCTGATTATTTTAATATTTAACAAATTACATACATACACGTATACAGAAGAGGGCCACTGTGAGTCGTATTCCAGAGCTCTACTTAATGCTCAAGTCAGGACTTGAATATGATTTAAAACACTAGAAATCATACTCGGGTCGTATTTCCAGTGTTGAAATCATAATCACGTTCTGACTTGAGCATCGAGTAGAGTTCTGAAATACGACACTGTGGCACTGCTGCCGCGTCACTACTAAATTTTCATACAATATTTAGAAGTGCGACTGCAGCGCTGGCTAAGTGAGAAAGTTCATGAAATCTCTCACAGATGTCGCTTACGACGTCGATAACTAAAAAACTCTGTATAAAAGATCTATAACGGACACATCGAAGAATTTCGTCGACTTGGTAACTCGACCTGTAGCTTAGTTGGAAGAGCAATGGGGACGGAATCCCGTGGTCGCAGGTTCGAGTCCCGTTGTGTTGAAGGAATTTTTCTTTGTGTTTGTTTTTTGTATTTAATAATTACAGCAAGAATTCACTCTTTCATTTTCACCAGCTAAGGAAGATATTATGACATTATCTAGAATAAAGCATTTCGAAAGTCGTCTAAGTAATAAAGTAACTAGCGTTAGTAAACATGATGATTTTCGGATCGAAAACGGCTCAATTCTAATTCGTCACCTTTTCGCCAACTGCGAACACGAAAATCGTGCCTTAATATACCGACACAGGAATGGTATTTCAAATATCTGAAAGAAACCCATATAGTGAATCTGTGCCATTATTTATGGGCAATGATTTACGGTATAAACTCATTTTGTTGATTTTTGAATTAGGTCACTTTCATTCTAAAGGTGTTGACATTTGGATAACACAAAGTTAAAACACAAAAAAGGGAAAACGCACCGCTAGAGGACCCTCCGTCCGAAATCCACGATACTACAGACATACAGACAGAGAAACATATTCTTATGAAAACTGTCTTGTGGTCTCAGACGTCCCACGTTCTGTACCGATCAAGTTTTGTACCTCAATATGAGAAATATGAAATTAACAATACAAAAAGCTTACACACCCATACACGATAGTTCTTTTGCAAGTAGTCAGCAGATTGTCTTTGTTGCAGCATTAGATCAAGGTTGCCATATTATTGTAATCTTCTCCTTCCTGTCCTTATCCCACGTTAGGTGGGGTCGGCACAATATGTATTTTTCTTCCACTCTCCCCAATCAGCCGTCATTTCTATACGCACACCTTTCTTATCCATGTCATCTTTCACACAATCTATCCATCTTTTTTTTGGTTTTCCTTATTCGTCTCCTTTCGTCATTGTTCCTACATTCCAACTCGCAATCTTCAGTCTTGTTCCCGGACATATTACTGTAATGTCATCTGATTTTCAAAATATACCAAATTTGAAGTCCATCATGCATGTTTGCCGGCCCAAGCCGGTAGAGAGTTGCCCGTTCCATAGATTATAAAAACAAATGACGTATGTACGTGCCAAATATGACCTAAAACTATTTTCGGCAAATTTTACGTCTTTTTTTATATAATACCAAATGACGGCACGAACAAGTCGTGCGCCTGGTGGTAAGCGGCACGCCTATCCGTGACAGTTGCAGTGCCACTCGGAGCTTTAAATCACAAACTCTGAGACCAAGTCGACAAATCCCATGCGCCTGTAATTTCACCAGCAAAACAGGAACACCGTAATGCTTGGCGGTTCTACTATTTCATCCACGCCCCAAAAACGTGACCTTGTCCCCGAGCGCGATCGCGTCCGCGCCGCGGCCACGCACCTGCACCGTGCTGCCGATGGCCATGCGCAGCACGTCGGCCATGGCGGCGTCGGGGAAGTGCGTCCGCGCCGCGCCCAGCGCCGCCACCACGCGGCCCGACAGCGCGCCGGCCAGCGGCTGCACCAGCACGCGCTCCCAGATCACCAGGCCCAGCTCGCCCACCTGGGGACTCGCTTTCCGTCAACACGATGCTTTGTGCACGTATGTGAAATCAGGTAACGGAAAGTGGGTAAAATCTAAAACCGGATTCTTCTGCCAATACGGAATATTTTCTTCAAATTTGAACGGGAACACTGCTGAGGTAGAATCACCTAAATCTGTTCACAAACATCGGGGTCATCGTGTAACATACACACAAAAACACACATACAGTTGAATGAAGTTTCTCCACGTTTTTTTGTAAAGTCGGTTAATAAAAGATAAATTTTATTAACAAATTTTATAATTTAAGAATAAGGATCTTAGACTCTTAGAGAAGAAATATAAACCATGGGACCTGTAATGACCCCGAAACGTTGTTATTTTGAAAAACAAATATAAACAATTTATACCCCAAAAAATAGACTATTTCTATTGTCTACTTACAAATGTCCCAAACTTACCTCGAGTTGTCGTGAATCGTGTTCGGGACAGCTGACGGTGGCCGCGGACCCATATATAATTTCTGCATCTGACACCTGTACGGATAAATCATTGTTACGCAATAATACAAGTAAGGAAAACTACTGGGTTAAATAATATATTACAACCTATATTATTATGATTATTACAAATACATTGCATGACTCAAATTAAGCGTTTTATAATTTTAATTTCTTTTTTACTTCTTTATTTCTTTTAAGGCGTAAGTAAAGCTAGATAATTTTTTGTAATTTTTTGTACATGTTGTTTCAACTGCCTCCGTGGCCGAACGGTTACCATGGCCGGACTGCCATGCAGAGGTCCCAGGTTCGATTCCCGAGCCGGGAGAAATATTTGTATGGCCTACATTTATTTGTCTCGTGAGTTTGGGTGTAATTTGTAATTGTATATTTGTGTGTCCATGGCACCCGCGACACAGGGTTTCCCTAGTGCGGGGCTATGTCGAGTGTGTGCGTTATTATTATTATATTCTATTAATATCTATTCCGAGTAAATTAAATATATTGACGGTTCCTATTTTTGTTAGGTTATTATGAAAAATTAATATTTAGTGATGGTTTTTGATAGGGCCTAAATTCTATAATTTTGGTATTTAGGAAGTTACTTTCTAAATTGTGATCAATCATCCATGTTAAGATTGTATTTAGTGTATTATGAAGAATTTGATTTAAATGGTCATTATTTTTACAAGATGTGTATTCTGAATATTGAGATATCGTCAGCGAAAAGGACACATGAGTCAGTTATTGCTTTTGGGACGTCATTTATATAAGCCAGGAACAATATGCACCCAATGACGCTTCCTTGTGGTATCGAATTGTTCATGTTTTGTGGCTCTGATCTGACTTGGGTTATTTCCCCTGTTTCATAGTTATAGTGTTCGATTTCTACATATTGGATTCTGTTTTTTAGATATGATGCGAACTATTTATGAGTGTCACCTTGTGTAGCCGTAAGTTCCGTAAAGCTTATCTATTAAGATATCATATTGCACTTTATCATATGCTTTGGATATGTCCAACAAGGTACCGATAGCATACTTTTTTCATTAAGTGTATCCAGAATCTTCTGCATAAATTTGTAAGTCGCGAGGGTAGTTGAACGATTTTCCGAAAACCATTTTGTGATTCATCAAATATATTGAATTTTTCACAGAATGAGCATAGGCGGTTACATATTGCCTTCTCAAATACTTTTGATGCCGCGGGTAATAATGCGATCGGCCTGTAATTACTCGGATCATACTTACTTCCTTTTTTGTGGATAGGTTTTATTAGTGATTGTTTAAGAAGATCCGGTAACACGCCTTCGGTAAATGATTGACTGACAAGTGTATAAAGTGGTAACGTCAATTCGTCTGCACATGCCTTTACAAGCGCGGGCGGTATCTCGTCTATTCCGTAGATGTATTTACTTTTTAGATTACGTATAATTACGTTTATTTCGCGTGGTTCGACCGGGTTCAAGTACATAGTGTCCACTGTTGGACGCAACACCCGGCGGCCGCGCGCGCATAGCTTGTCCGCTCTGTCAGAGGTTACGGCTTCGATGCTACTAGAGTTAGTCGCGGGCGCGTTGCCCACAGATGCAAAATATTTGTTAAAACTGTTTGATATTTGTTTCGGATTTGATATCAGTACGTTTTGAATTTTTAGCGTGAAATTGTGTTTATTTTTGTTTATATTTTTATTAGTACGTTGTTTTATTATTTTCCACATAGTTTTTATTTTATGTTCGGATTAGTGCATTTCATGAATATATTGGATTTGATTTGACTTTTTAATAGTTTGTTTTAATATTTTTGAATAGGATTTGTAGTAATTGCGAAGCGCAGGGTTTTTCGTGTAATAGTTGATGATTATTTTTAGTAGTTTTTTGTTTTTGCAACTTTCCTTTACGCCGCGAGTCAGCCAGGTTTTTTATTGTACGGTTTTAATTTTCCATAGTCCATAGTCTTGCAGAGTATGGAAGTGACTGAGATAGGTTGATAGTTGACAGGGTCAGCTCGAAGTCCGTCGTCATCTTGCTTAGCAGCCGCTGAAAAGATTTTTGCTACACTTGGCTGAGTATTATGCTTCTTCTCTAAGTGTTGAAAATATGCTACATTCTTGTCTTTCTTATCTGGATGCATTTTATTCAAATGATCTTGCAGTCTTGAAGGCTTCATTCGAAAATGTTTTTAGATATAGAAGGCACAAAGGCGACGATGGGTTTGTGGTATTTTCAATGAATCCGAATTTAATATATTCCGCACAGTGTTGCCGTCTCTTCTTTTTTACTTCCGACATTGGTTTGTTTTAAGAAATATGTAAGTAAGTGTTGAACTTACTACTTATCTATTACGCGCGAAACCGCAAATGAAAATAAAATAAATATTACGTTGTTTATGTAGGATTGCGTAAGCAGCACGCACCGACAGGAATAAGACAAACATGCATGAACTCGTTTATCTTATTCGACGCTCAATCGTACTCAACAAGTAAGAACAAGTATTCTATGAACCAGCCGATTGATACAGGAATTCACAAATCGGGTTATTTAACAATCTATCCAATATATATAATCTAGTCTATTTATTATCTACGAAAATTACCTATCTAGGAATACTAATAACTATTAAAATGCGAAACTGAGTCTGTTGCCTTTTTATTTGTTTGTTTGTGTCTACTGTTATGAGCTACACGGAGAGAAATATCGAACCGAGTTAGTTTGAGCAATCTCTTAATTAATATTAGTTGATGTTCACAAGTTGTAGTCGAGAGTCGAGAGCTCGGTCGGTGTCTAAGGGTCGTATTCCAGAACTGTACTCAATGCTCAAGTCAGGATTTGAGCAGACTTGAGTATGATTTCAAGCACTGGAAATACGACCCTAATGGAAAGGACTTGAGTATGATTTCTATTGCTTTGAATCATGCTCAAGTCAGGATTGCACTGGAAACACAAGCACTGGAAATACGACCCTAACAGCAGGGACTTGAGTATGATTTCGAGTGCTTTAAACCATACTCAAATCCTGACTTGAGCATTGACCCTAAGGGTCATATTCTAGAACTTTCTTCTTCTTCTTCCTAGATGAAATTACAAATCTCCCCCTAAGCCTCTACACAACGCCCCCACTTTTTTCTGGGTCTCTTACCGCCCTTAAGGCCTGCAGCGCCCACAAGGGGGCGTTATCGCCCACTTTGGGAAAGGCTGATTTAGGCGAATGATTTGACCATTTTTTATGTTGAAATGAAAATTCGAATTCAATATCGCGCATCGCTATTTGGGCAGTAAAAATAACAAAGCGTATAGCAAACTAACCTTTTGTCTTTTGACGTGCTGTAAATTGAGGTAGGAATATAGACAGTTAAGGTACGCCACGCCTTGGCTGTATTCGCGCCATGCTGCCACATATCTGTAAATAGTAAATAATTAATAATAAATAAATAACGCACACACTCAACAGAGCATAGCACTAGGGAAACCCTGTGTCGCGGGTGCCATGGACACACACATAGACAACCACAAATTACACCCAAACTCACGAGAGAAATAAATGTAAGCCTAGTAATCGAACCTGGGACCTCTGCGTGGCAGTCCGGCATGGTAACCGTTCGGCCACGGAGACAGTTGTAGTAGTAGCAGAAAAGTAAATACAATAGAGAATTTTCCACTTTCTTTTGAGGAGTTCTCAATTCTTTTGTTTTTTTTTTGTATGTATGTTACGCGATAACCCATACAAAATTTGTGAACCGATTTTGATGATTCTTTTTTTTGTTGAAAGGGTACCTCAATATTGGTCCCGTTTAAATTTGAAGAAAATATTCCATCTCTAAGGGTGGCAAACTAGGAGATGAATCAGGTCTCGCGCAATTCCCGGTAACCGATCTCAATAAAACTTGGCTAACAGACGTAATTCCACGAACTTTAGAGGTTGGTTTTTTGTATGAAAAAGTTACAATTATTTAGTAATTTATTTGTCCATATACGTAATAATAAAAAACAAAAGTTATTACCTGTTGAGCAAACCGTCATTGTGGTCGTTGTTTTCAAGCGGCGCAGTGCCGCGCACGCGTTGTAGCAGCCCTGACACGTGCTCTTCAAGGAAGTTTCTAGAACGACAGTAAATGATTATTAGAAACAAAATCACAACCGAAGGCCGTGATGACGACATTAAGCCCCCAGTTACACGACATGAAAGTATACGCGTCCACCGAGCGGTGACTGCCCGGTTCCACGCTTTCACGTACATTATTTGCGAATCTGAATTCTATTTACTTAGGCCAGTATGGCACCTCAAATTTAGATCACAGACTAAAAACCATAACAATGATTATGCTGACATCTAGTGAAAATTCGTTGTATCACTTTTAGGCCTTTCTGGTTCTATCAAAATGATCAATTTGAACTGGAAAAAATCATAAACTCAATATTGTAAAAAAATGAGTTAGGCCACTATGGTTCTCATGGCCTCAACTAAGTTCTTCAGAACAATACGCCGCGGTCGCCGCGTAGACCAAACACGTAAAATCTAAATAAAATAGAGCGTGTCTCGAAAATTCGTGTAGAATAAACGCGCCCTACCTAATACTGCTGTCCTTATTATAAACAACGTGATCGATATTTTGACCCCTCCTACGTAAAGTACCGTATGTCGAAATTGCCAAGTTTACAGGGGAGCGTTTTAAAGTTCTGAATTTACTGAATAGAACATAGCACATGAATTGAGAATTTCTCAGTTTTATTCGAGAACGAGTTTTAAAGAACGAGCTTTGCCGAATAAAACTGAGAAATGCTAAAGTTACTTGTTATGCTTATGTCAATGAATTTAAAAAAAATTAAAACTCCCCTGTAAACTTGGCAATTTCGACATACGACACTTTACGTAGGAGGGGTCGATTTTTGGCAACATTGAGTTATTAACTTATCTGAAATCAGAAAATCGTGATCTACAACCCCCTATCAGCTTTATTTTTTTAATATCTTATTTAGTTTCAGTTTTATGGTTAAGCAAAATCAGCGTAATTTAGGTGCCAACATCACCTAAATTATAGGTTTCGTATGCTTTTTACAAGTACTCCCGCCATTTATTATTATAATACATATTTCACGCAACAACTTATACCTACTTACAGCAATAGCCATGAAAAGCAATACAATAATTAAAAACCAAGGAGACAATAACATGAACATCATAATTATTATTAACTTATTATGTAACTAAATTTCACGTCACTCAATTTGCCAATGCCTGGGATAGGTAGGTTGTGATAAGACACTTTTATAATTGGACATAGTTGTGGGTAGGCATTTTTACGATTGGACATTTTTATGGTTAAGCATTGTTATCATTGGTCATTTTTACATTATAGCGTCGTTATCATTGGAAATTTTTATGGTTAAGCATTGTTATCATTGGACATTTTTATGGTGAAGCATTGTTATCATTGGACATTTTATGGTGAAGCATTGTTATCATTGGACATTTTTATGGTGAAGCATTGTTATCATTGGACATTTTTATGGTTAAGTGTAGTTAAGATTGGACGTTTTTATGGTTAAGCATTGTTATGATTGGACATTTTCATGGCTAATCATGTTTATGACTAGACATTTTTAATGTTGCATATTTTTCTTTGCAAAGATTGAAAACCTACCTGGTTTCATCGTAGAGACGATCAGCCAATGGCTCTGGATGCGCAACGCACAAAGCGTACACGTCCGAAAACCGTGTGTTCCACACTGACCGCTCCACAGAGCGCAGGCCTACTACCCCCGCCACCTGGTTGTATACCAAATAACATTATAACTTAAAAAAACAAATAAAACCATGTACCGAACTAACATAGACAAAAAATAACTACTGTTATACAATGTATAACTACCATATCGGCTGAACTGGCAACCGGTATCTCAATATTGACAACTATACAGGATGAAGAAAAAATCAATTACATAGCATCTGGTTTATTAAATAAAAATACGTAATGTACATACACACATGTGTAATAAAAATATTTAAAAACTAAACACATTCCACTGATTGGGGATTGTATGGGCCTAGTAGCGAGTGTTGTGCGCCCATTAAATGTCTATTAACAAATTTGTTTGTTTGTTGCTTAGATAATAACTATATTTCATATTGCCATGTGTCACTTTTACCATGGAGTAAATAATATGTTTTACCAACATCTGAATTTAATTATAGTGTGCTACGAACAAGCCCTCTGTGTTAGCCTACATGTCTTACAACGAAAGGGCTTGGACTGTAGTTCATGTGGGCCCTATATGGACAGGGAACATCACTCACGTCATTAAATTGTCTTGCAGATGTGTGCAGGATTCCTCAAGATGTTTTCCTTCAACGAAAAGCTCATGCTAAAGGATGATAACCGATGAAATATACAGACATATCCCTAAACTGGAAATAATACTTTTCCTAACACGTTTAATAATCGAACAAACTTATAGAATTACATTCCGTGCATAAGTGTATTGGGAAAAAAATACCCAGCTGCGCTTCAGTGGGTAAGGTCTTCCGTCTAGTTGTGATCTCTCAGAAATAGTTTCCTTAAAAATAAGGTATAGATTCTTGAAGCACAGTTTGTACGGTTTTTGGGTTTTTAGCCAAGAGTATAAGGTCATCTGCGAATCTCAAGTGGTTAAGGTGTACTCCATTTATACTCAAGCCATATTCCTCCCAAACCAGATGTCTAAATATACTTTCCAACACAGCAGCGCCTATATTGGGCGATAGATGATCCCCCTGATGGATACCCTTTCTGATTTGGAATTCTTCTCCTGTAGTCTCTAGCTGTATTTTACTCTTTTTGTATATTTGTTGGATCAGTTGTATATATTTCTTTTGCACTCTTTGTTCACTGAGAGATTTCCAGACTTTCATTAAAGTTTTCTATTATTTGTTTTATTACAAGAAAGCCAAAGTCAAAGTCAAAGATTATTTATTCCATAGGTAAAATAAATTTACACTTGAAAACGTCACATTTAAGCTACTACTCGTTCACTACGCTGACCTCCCTGAGAAGAACGAGCAAGAAACTCTAGGGATTGCTCTTTTCAAATAAACTTAAATGCTATGGAATACACTTTGAATCAAATTTGTGTGGATTCTGGAGCCGTGTCGTCTTTCCATACATCTTTATCTAACACGTAGTCTTCAATTTTGTAATATGATTTTTCAATCAAAATATTTTTTATGTCGTTTTTAAACTTAGGAAATGATATGACTTTGACTTTGACTTAATATATGCTCCGGAATCTTATTGTAAAAACCACTTTGCTATGATTTACAGTCATGACGATACGAACAACTATACCATTAGGCTACAACGGCTGCGGTGACAGATAAAGAAAGAACAAAATATTTACCGTTTCCTTAAGGTTGGCCCACGTCTCCTGGAAGTCGACGTTCCGCGGCTTTAATGACATCATTGGAATGCCTCTGAATGATCCTAAAAGAAAAAAAATCAGTATAAAAAAAGTCATACACCAGCTAAACTTATTAACTAACTTTATTTACTTTTATTTAGCTAACTTTATAGCTTCAATTAGGTATTACTAACTTAAACCTGCGTACTCAGAGATATTTGTCCTGCTTCAAGAGGAGGAAGGCCTGTTCCTGGCAGTGATATTTTGCATTTTGCTTATCTGGCATTCTGCGTAATCTGGCGTTTTGCATAATGCGCCAAAACGAATCACGCTTGTGTTTCAGGATATTTTCAAATTAAGAAATAGTTTTTTATTTATTTTTTTTATAATTCAGACAACTTAATAGGTCCACAATTGTGTTAGTAAGGGCGCGTTCCCACTATGTTGTGACGACAGATTGTCGTGCAGTTTATAGTGTCGTGGCTTGTATATTTAAATGAAGTTGTTCACATATAGTATGACACGATTAACTGTCGTTCACGATTTTTTATCGTTACAACGACAAACTGTCGTCACAGTGGGAACAGCTAGAACGACCGTCGTCAGACGATAAAAAAAGTCACGATAAAAACGTGACGACAGATTGTCGCAACTCCTACTGTCGTCACGTTTTATTTATCACTGTCCGCACTCTGCTCCCTGCCCTTCCCTCTCGTACCCTGCACTCTCTGCTCGCTTTGCAGTAGCGTTGGGCTTCCAAATGAACTTACAAGCGACTGCAGTGCATCAAACGATTCTATCGTGCAAACGACAAGGAGGCTGTCGTGAAACGATAAATTGTCGTCACGATCTAGTGGGAACAGCTAGTCACGACAGTTGTTCAACGATAAAAAATCGTCCACGACAGATAGTCGTGATATGGGAACAGGCTAGACACGACAGTCGTCCAACGATAACAAAACGTGACGACATAGTGGGAACGCGCTCTAACTCTTAGATTATGTTAGTACTTAATAATTAACAATGCTTTCATCCTTTGAGTGAGTTTCCACATCAAAGGACAATCAAATTTCTTAGATATCATATTCAAGATGCTGTTCTGTTACTGCTGCCTCACACTCTGTTTATAAGCGAGTTAGTTTTTTGCGTAACACTGCGTTGAAACCGTCTGTGCGTGTCTCAACGAACATGCTCGACGCACTGCAGTATCGCGGCTGCCGCAACAGCACACTTAAGGCGTTGTTATATTGGACGCGCAGAGCATTCTAAGCGCTTTAAGTGTACCCGAGCCACAGACTTGACAAGTGCAGAATGCCTTAAATAGCGTTATTTTAATTGTAGCATTAAGAATTAAGAATTTAAGAATTAAGAATTAAGAATTTAAGAATTTAAGAATTAAGAATTTGTTTGTTGTGTGTTGTGAAAAGTTTCAAATTTAACTGATTACACAATTTAATTGACATTGTAATCAAATACAATCACCACCATCCCCGTCACCTACAGACTGTTGTAAGATCTTTGATAAACAGAGCATATGACCTTTGTGACCCTGAATTCTTGGGGAATGAGATATCCCACGTTAAGAAGGTCCTTAGGTGGAACGGATACAGAGTGAACAGACGGCAACCACGGCGGAAAGCTAAAGGGAAACATCCTGACGTTTTAAGGCAATCAGCATTCATGCCTTAGTGAAACAAATAATGGACAAAAACTGTACAGTACTAAAAAAGTACTAAACTGTGTTTACGCCATTATCTAAGGTCACGGGGCATATCAAATCACCTGAGGATATAATCCCCTTTCAATCTCCGGGCATTTACAAGATTGATTGCAGTTGTGACAGTTCCTATATTGGGTAGACAAAACGCACCATAGCCAAAAGAGTTAAAGAACACATTGCGGCTATTAAGAACCGTCAGCTCAATAAGTCTGCAATAGCCAAGCATTTGCTGGAATCAGGACCAAACCACTGGATTGAGCTTCATAATCCCAAGATCCTTTCTACAGAACGTCATCACTATAGTAGAATCGTACGTGAAGCAATTCAAATTAAAAAACACTGTTTTTAAACAATTTTTTTCAGCAACAGAGTGGTGCACAATTAGAACATGCTACCGGAAGATGTTGTTTCTGCTGTCTCTGTTAATGACTTCAAAAACAAGTTCGACAACTGGTTACAAAAGAGTGAATTGGTGCTAAAAAGTGAACTAAAACAAACAATATAAATTTCAACACTGTGTGATGTGGACATACTAGAGAAAGCTGTTCGTATATAATCAAATAAATAAATAATTTCAACCAAGAACAAGGCTTTAAGCTTTCATCATCATGGGATGCAGTTATTGGCAAATGCACCTAAATGACATCAAGTATCACCCGACAAGTCGCTGAATGTTGATGTCATGAGTGTTGAGTGGCAGTTTAGTGAGAACCCTAGTGCACAAATAAATAATGAAGATCAAGTGCGGGTAGTTAGAATAACTCTGACTTGATAATAAAAACATTGAAGAGAGCCCCATACATTGGTGTATTTTAAAAATGGAATATTAAAAAGTCTGAAAAATATTACAATTCATGAATTTTCTAGTTAACCTAAAGGAAAGTCAGAAGTGGCTGTGAGCCCATTACAATATCCGTGAATAAATTATCTAAAACTCCATTAAAAATTTACCGAATTATCTTTTAGGTAATGGAAGTTTTCGAAAATTAGAATACAAAAATTACGACGTGTTAATTACGCATCTTTAAAATTTGTTTACCGTTATGTATTGCGCGTTATATTCCGTATAAATGATACTATACTTGTATTAACGAAAAAATTAGTTTCAACAAAATTTTACAGAGATATTAACTTCGAGGGTACCCACATCAAAGTTACGGAGCTCGTGTTTAAAGGTTATTTTTCTCGAAAAATATATGATGCCCACAATGAAAGCGAAGCGATGGGTTTGTTGGCACCGGGATCTTGATTTGGCACATTGACAAAAGGGAACAAAGCATTGAAATTACTCAGCGTATATCCCAAACAATAATATCATGTATTACCTTGCAATGATGTGACAACTTTCCTATGTGTCGGCTCGTACAGCGCCGATATCGAACGCTCGTGTTAACACCAACTGTTTTTGTCACAATACAGTCAAATAACAAGAAATAAATGTTAGTTATTTTGTATAAATTGCGTAAATTCAACAAAATTGTATAGTTCCAATTTCTTCGAGCAATCCAAGATTTTGATTTGACGTTTCTTCGTCAGTGTTGTCAGTTGAAAATAAGTCGAGTGTTGTTACACTTGGGTAATAGTGGAAATTTTTCCGGAAAAAATCCCGAAAAATTGAAAATATAATAAATATAATTTGGAAGGTTCATAATATGTTCTACGTTTAGAAATATATTTTAAAGTTTTATTTAGCGTGAATTGTAAAATAAACTTATTTAGCTAAAAGCCACTTAAAGAAAAACGAGAATTAAAATGGAATCATTTTAATTCTCTCAACAGCGAAAAAACCCTACAACAACCACACCACCACCACTTGTTGTTGGGTCCATCGTTTTCGTCCAATAAATTCAACTTTGGACAGGAGTCAACGTCAAATGTGGAAAATTAATGGAAAATATTGGAAAAAACATTTACTTTTCTGCTAAATATGACTTTTTCCAAAATGGAAATTTTTCCATTACCCAACACTACTAAGATCTAAAGGAAGGCTAAAACAGTCGCTATAAATGTTGAACATTTAAATAAAATCTTGTGCTGGGTCAAAAAAAATGAGCCAACGAAAACGGTTTTTTTCGATGTTGTGAAATCAAACCAAAATCTCATTTTTCTATATGCAGCATAAATCTATAGTTTATTTCATAATTCATGTTAAATAGACCTTCAAAAGAAGAAAATCACAATTTTCCAATTTTTCTGGAACTTTTCTGGACAAAATTTCCACTATTTGAAATATTTCGGAAAATTACCCAACAGTAGGTCTTGGCGTCCCAAATGGAGTAATGGAACTTTTTAAAAACAACTAGATTTCCTGTCACCGTAATGTTATCAAATCGTATATTCAAAAATGACTGACAAACGTTGAAATTAAAAGCAACTTTATATCCAAGATAAACGCGTGTTTGCCACAAGTTCTGTTCTCGAAACAATAGCTTCGTTCTTCAGGCCAATTAATTATTTTCCAAGAAATTAATTTCGAAGTTATTCTTTAAATAGGACATTTCAGAATAGTTATTAATTTTTTTTTTTAAATTAAGTAATGGGAAACGTTTTTCAGCCTTTGGGCTAGTGCCACATTATCCATCAAGCATCCTAAAGACACACGATGTCATCAATTTAAAAAAATATTTTTGTTACCAATATCGTTGGGGACATATTGGGGACACCGTGTATCTCAGGGACACGTGAAGGAATGAACCCCCATAATTTACGCTACAATTATCTCTTTCTAACCTTCCATAACATCAGGCGAAGTTAATAAAAGCGTGTTAAAATAAAAAAAACACCAATATTCAATTGTTAAACTTAATTTAATAAGTTTACAACACAAATTAAAACTTAACAAAGAGCTTACTTAATTTTTAATTTCATTTTTTTCTTAAAAAACGGATTTATTGGCGACGGGGTTGACGGTTTTAAATTTGTCTTAACCGGTTTTTTTGAACTGTCAAATGGTATATTCGGACTCTGTTTCACACTTTTGTAGTAGTCAATGGTGCCTTGCATGGAATTATTTTTTAACACAAATTTAACTTTTTTTGGCGTATGTAATGATGAATTTTTGTCAGTTTTGTCTGTTTTAGGTGATAATTGTTTTTGGAAATTTTTAACCTTTTTAGCCACAACTGCGGGTTCGTGTTTTAATTTGTCTGTTTTAGGTTTTCTTGGTGCTTCTATTACAGGTCGCTGTGTAGGTTCGGATTTTTCTGTTTCAGGTTTCTGGTTCTTCTTTTCTTTTATAAGAGCTGGTGCGTTTTTTACTCTGTCAACACTTTGTTTTTGAATAAGTTTCTTTGTTTTTTCTTTTTTCACTCCCTTGTCGGCATTCGCTTCTTTTACATCAAGCTTTTGTTTCTTTGTAACAATATCGGTTGTTTTTTCCATTTTTCGTTTTTTGTTTTTTCCGATGTTTTCTTTATTTGAGGTATCTTTTTGATCCTTTTCCGGTTCCTCTTCCACTTTCCAATTGCCGGTCTGAAGCATAAAGATAATAAAGTTTAATTTTATCAGTATCACAGAATAGGCAATCAAACAATTTATCAGAATAAAAAATGTAAAATGTAGAGATTTTTAGAGTAATACAAATGATTAAAACAATATTTTTTTGAAATAATAATGATTTGTTTTTTAAATCAATGTGTATGTTTGTATATTTTGTTAACAAATGCATTTGTTTTTAAAATAATTTTTTACCCATTTATTAGGGTAGGCAAAGGTTTCACTATACAGCCTCTTCATACATTTAGAGACGAAAGCCAAACAAACGCTACAAATAAAAAACAAAAACAACGAGAGAACAGAACTGGCCAAGAACCGCACATATTTTAACCAATATTTTCTTTATATAAATATTTATAGCAGAATAGCGCTTGAGTAGATTCCTAATTGATATTTTATAGCAAAAATGCAACGTTCCTTCTTTTAAACTCTATTACAGTTCTGTGTGCAGAACTTTAATGAAACTTTTCAGCTGAGTGGCAAGTACCATAGACAATAGAATTTTGACTCAAAACTAAAAAGAGCGCCTTCATGACATGGTTTATGAAATTATAATCGACAGATTAAAGATTAATTAGAGTACAAAAAATATTATTTTACATTACAATGAATGTCTAAAATTCTTGCAAAGTGGGAAACGTTAGTTGTTTTTTTTTCAAGGATTGCAGTTTTCAGATTGCATTATTCCTCATTATACATTATTTGCGAACAGGTCTATATTTACAGAAGAATATACTAGGATTACTTACAGCAGACTCCGTGCTAAGGCCATTCTGCGTCTGGACGTCCTCGACGATGCTAAGTCCTGCTCGACTCTTGGCGAGAAGTCTCTTGCGGTGTTTTCGGCTCAGACCTACGAAGCACGAAGGCAGACTATAAAAAGTTGTATACGAATATTCCTTAGCCATTATTGTTTAGTGAGTCATTACACATGTTAAGACGAAATCGATTTGAACTAGTATGAAAATGTTTTATGTGGTGAAAGTGGTAAAAGAAAGTTATCAAATAATTAATAATTTGTGATAGCCGAAACGAACCCGGAACAGCATCAGGGACTACCCCGAGAGCATACCCTTTCAAACAAAAAAGAATTTTCAAAATCCGTCCGCAATTAATGTAGAAATCGATATATACACGGACATGCCTTTAAAATTTGAGGATTTCCCTCGATAGATTCTGACTTGGTCACAATGAGAACGCACTCTTTAAAAAAAAAAAAAATTTTCAAAAAATCGGTCCACAAATGACAGAGTAATTTGAAAACATACATACAGCCGAACGTATAACTATTATATATATTATTAATCTGAATCATCAAGAATTTGCGATTTGAAATTTCCGTAAATTATTACCTGCACTTAAACTGGACAATTTCCTGTACTACGAGTACCAGAGGAATTCATTCCGAGGAATTACCCAGAACACCCACCAAAACCACCACCAAGCTCAACTGAATATGACTGACTGCAATAACAAGGTGACAGACGTACCTCTCAAAGCAAGTTCATCCGAAGCAGAGATAAGGGTCCTCTCCAATGCTGCCAGAGAACGCGCAGCAGGGAGAGCGGGGGGAAGGGGTCGCACCGCAAGGGGAGAGGTAGTGATGCGGAGGGGGTACTCCGACTTTGACAGCGTCTCGAACCTGATTTGAAAAATAACGAGAATTTAAGTCAAAATGTTTACGGACTTGCGTAAAATCAATCAACGCCATCTATTACCTTTAGATAGAACTACTATTAGAAACCTTATGCCGGACGATTTGAAGGTTCACTTTGAATAAAAGTTGGTTTGAAGTGAGCAAGCGAGCACAAGCCTGACCTCTGCAAGCAGATCCTGGCCCTGCGCTGCGCCCTGGGCGGGGCGTGCGCCAGCAGCTGCCGCAGCGCCTGCGCCAGCTGCGCCGCCGGCACCGGCAGCGACGGCAGCAGCACGTCCACGCGCCCGGCGCGGGGGTCCAGCGGGGTCTCCTGGCTGTCATCACGACATGCACTCATCACAAAACTCTACCTATTTCTGTCGCCAAGCAGTAATTTTACTGTTAAACGGAACAAAAAAATCGTCTCGATTACTTTCAGAACCGATGTCGCCAAAACTTACATTCTTAATTTGAAACACTATGAAATATTGATAATGATTGGGCGTAGCCTCAAATTTTTTAAAATAACAAATTTTGGATTGTTAATATAATTTAAACTTTACCCTGTTGGCATATCGTTCAAAGTTTAATACCTATTATTGCAAGTTACGATGTTTTGGTAGTATATCGAAATTTCAATCAGCGTGCTGCCATCTAGTGGTTAATTGCTAAACAACGAAAAATTGGAGTTTTTAATTTAGTTCTCCAAACAAAAAGCAACCATACTGCAGGACTATAAGCTTTACATTCGTTTTTTGCAACAAAAAAACATATCCTAAAAATATATATAAACAAAAAATTGTAAATTTATTAAAATAACACTTACCAGTGATATGAAATACTACTACGGGTAATGTTCTGAAGCAGCTTAATTTTTCTACTCGAAAACAGTACAGAAGGCATTTTTCTACGATTCGAGAGAATTTGCGCGAATGACACAACCATACAACCATACATACATCTTTCGAGATCTATAGTTGGCACGCCTCAGACACTAACTAACCACTTCTACCATATTTACTGTTCTGTGGACCTTAAGCCTCTATTACTAGAAGAACGGCTGTCGCCAGAACTAGCTCTATCATAATTCAAAGTTCTGCATCTAGCGACAATAGCTTAAAGACGGCGAACGATTTTTTTAACGCACACACTCATTTAACTGCCTCCGTGGCCAAACGGTTACCGGACTGCCACGCAGAGGTCTCCGGGTTCGATTCCCGGGCCGGAAGAAATATTTGTATGGCCTACATTTATTTCTCTCGTGAGTTTGAGTGTAATTTGTGATTGTCTATGTATGTCCATGGCACCCGCGACACAGGGTTTCCCTAGTGCGGGGCTATGTTGAGTGTATGCGTTATTATTTTTTTTTTCTTCATAGCCCCGCCTATTAACGGTTTCAAAAAAAGGGACCACATTACAGCGTTCACTTTCGTTTCCTACAACAAAAAACTATTACGATAAACAGAAACGGGAAAATTTATTAGAATTAAATAAAATTAGATAACGATGATAAAAAAACCACCATGCATAATATTATAGGTACGTCTTATCATTGTTGCACTTTACAGTAGAAAAGGCATTTATCCACGATTTTGGAGGTATTGTGTGTTCTGTCACTGATTTCTGCCACCAAGCAGATTACTGCTACCGACATTAGTCGGCATTACTATGTTCCGGTTTAGACGGGCAATGGTGCTAGTGAAATTATAGGCACATAGGACTTGTCAACTTATATCTCAAGGTGACGGACGCAGTGACAGTGCCCCTCAGATCTTTGCGATTTAAATCTCTGACTGTCACTGCAACTGTTATGGACAGGCGTGTAGCTTACCATCAGACGCACGACTTTATCGTCCCGTCACTTGATATTATATAAGAAAAAGAAAATGGCGGACTGAGCTCAAATTTGCGAAACTCCGTGTACGTTTGGCACACGTGCCACCCACTACGCAATTCTATTGTATTTATTGTTCGGTGGGTAAATAGCAGTAGGGGAATATATCGACCCCTCCTACGTAAAGTATGGTATGTCGAAATTGCCACGTTTACAGGGAAGCGTTTTAAAGTTCTCCGTTTTATTCGTCAAAGCTCGTTACTCAAATAGAGTTATCACCTAATACATCATCTAACCGATATCTAGGATTTTATAATACTCTATGTGAGTAACAAGCTTTGTCGAATAAAACTGAGAAATGCTAAAGTCACGTGTTGTGCTTATTTCAGTGAATTCAGAATATTTAAAAGGCTCCTCTGTAAACTTGGCAATTTCGACATACGATGCTTTACGTCGGAGGGGTCGATATATTCGACGTAAAGTTTGTGAGACGTAATTTAGCCTATTTTAAATTCACAGTAAGTTCTCGCCGCAACAACGTATTGGTACTTCCGAAACCAAGATTTGAATTATTTAGAAATAGCCCGTACTAAAGAGCAGTTAAAAGCAGTTAAAATATATATTTTGATTATATAATCAAATACCTCTGCGCATTAAAAATGAACAAAAACAAAAATGTTTCTTTACTAAACTAAAGAAATCCTAATTGAAAAATGTTATTACTCAGTAAATGAATTTTTTAATGATAAAGACATTGATTTAAATTATTAAGGACTATTTTACGTTCTAATTTATGCAAATGAAAATAAAATTCCTAATTAAGTATAATGACCTAGAATTAATGTTGAATTGTTCGTATCTATTTATTTTAATTTTTAAATCCCATTACTTAATGTTGTCTTGTTAATAATATAAATTACTATTAATTCAAATGTTAAATTGCAATGCCCGAGCAGGGTCCATGTACTGTCACTGTAATAGTTATTAAAATCAATTTTACACAAATCGTACATGCAGCAATAATGAATTAATGAAATATGTAGTAGTTTTACCTGACGCCAAGATCCTCCTCGATGGCAGCGTTCTGCTCGTCGCCATCATCATCCGAAGCTAGTTCCAGCGCGTCGGGACCACCTTCGGGACAGCCCATCTTAAAGGTCAGAAATGGAAAACTAGATTATTATTATACATATATTGGTTGGGTTCAAATTTTCAATGTAGTTGTTTTTCAACCAACTTCAAAGAAATTAAGAATTAAATTAATTTGTGAACCGATTTTGACTCCTGACAAACTTCCTACGCCTCCTCTGCTCCCATCAATCTCTTCACACATGCCCGTTTATTTTGGTACTTTTAACCCGGCCTTTTTAAGGACATCCTCAATCTGATTGAGATATGTTCGCCGAGGTCTACCTCTCCCCACGCTTCCATCCACATTCGCTGTATAAATTTGTGCCGTCAATCGAACAACATGCATTCTTTCTACATGACCAAACCATCGAAGCATCCCTCTCTCTATCCTTGTCACTACATCATCTTTCTTACCACAACGCTCTCTTACCACACTGTTTGGCATTCTATCTTTAAGACTAATACCGCACATATTGCGCACAGCTCTCATTTCTACAGCATTCACCCTACTTTCATGTTTATTTCATACATTAGGGTTGGGACCAGCACGCCCCAATGAACAGTCAAACGTGCCTGTTTTGTGACATTCTGGCTACCCATTAAGGCATACAAGTCTCCATTCACTCGATTTTCGGCTTGCACTCTCCTCTCAATATCCCTTTCACACTTACCATCTCTTGTCAACAAACTACCCAGATACACAAATTCTTTTACTTGTTGTAATCTCACGCCGCCAATTGTAATATTGCATTCTGACACACTTTAATCCTTTCAATCACCATCACTTTCATCTTATTCACATTCACTTTCATTCCTTTCCTTTCAAACGTTTCATGCATAACTGTTACCATCTCTTGCAATTGTTCTGCCGACGAGGCTAGGAGTACTTGATCATTGGCATAGAGAAGGCATTTGACAAGTAACTCATTCATTCTTAATCCACATTCACTACCTTTCAAATCAAGTAAACAATTGTCCATGAACAGGTTGAACAGCCAAGGAGACGCTACACAGCCTTGCCTAACACCCCTACGAATGTTAAACCGTCTGTGAAGAGAGGTGGTGATGTAGCCATCTATCTTCGCAGCTCCATTCCTTTTAAGACTCTCTCATCATCGGATCAAAATGAAAATGGCATCGAATACCTTTTTTTAGAGATAGTGGTTTCTGGGGTTAAAGCGGTTCTTGGAGTTGTTTATTGTCTTCCTGCTGTCGATTTTATCACTTCTCTTACTTCTGTGTTAGACCCGCTCGCAGACTACACACATCACATAATCATGGGTGATTTCAACATTGACCTCCTTAAAGACACTCGCGTCCAGTAATTTTCGATCTACAATTGAGTCCTTCTCATTATCTATACTTGAGCTTAATGCTACTCATCACAACATTGAATCCATGGACTCATGGATTGATCATCCTATTGTCTCCTCTCCTGACCTTGTAGTGAAGCAAGGTCAGGTTCCCGCACTTGGTTTTTCCCGCCATGACATAATTTGTTTTATGTGATGTACAAAATTAAGCCTCACAAACGTTCGAGAAATTTTACTAAGTTTGACTTAGACAAACTTGCTGACGAAGCGTCTACTATTGATTGGTCCGGGGTTATGGCAGTGCCCACTGTAGACGGCAAGCTGGCTACATTCAATGCCACCTTATTAAGTTTTTAAGACAAGCATGCACCATTACTTACAAGTAGAAACTGAAAAGACCACCTGCGCCCTGTATCCTTTGGTGCGTATAGCAATGAGGAGGCGCGACAGAGCTCTTTCGTAAATTTAAACGTTGTAGTTCTGAGAAAAACTGGGCTACTTTCAAGGCTCATAGAAATCGCTGTAACCAGATGGTGAGAGCTGCAAAGCGTCGCTATTTTCATGACCTGATCCTGTCACTCCTGACGATGTCAATCGGCATTTCTCGGCTAGTATTAGCACTCAATGGGCAGGCAAAGCGGATGCTCTCAAAGATGTTCCTGCCTTGTGCCGCCAACCATCTGTAAGTTTTATCATTTCTTTGGTGTCGGAGTCCGATATTCGCAAAACAATAATGTCTTTAAAGTCTAAAGCTGGTGGATGTGATGACATTAGTCGACAAATGATAGTCTTTTATTTAGATAGTGCTCTGCCTATTATTACTCGGATTATCAAGTCATCCCTCTCATGTGGTACGTTACCTAACAACTGGCGCAGGGCGCATTTATTGCCTTAAGATTAATAAACCCACAACCCTTAAACACTTAAGGCCAATTTCTATACTACCCTTCCTTTCAAAAATTCTTGAAGCGATTGTTCATCGCCAACTATCATCTTTCTTTTTTAGAAATAATACCCTCGACCAGTACCAGTCTGGTATTCGGCCTGGCCACAGTACCACGACAGCGTTACTGAAAGTTACAGAGGACATTCGGGAGGGCATGGAGGATTCACGGTTAACGGTGTCAGTCCTCATTGATTTTTCTAACGCATTAAATGCTGTTGACCATGATATCCTTCTTGCTATCCTTGCATATTTGCGAATCTCTCCTCCGGAACTGGACTGGATTTCTTCATATTTTAGAGGGCGCAAGCAAGCGGTTCGTGCTAAATACTCCTTGTCTAATTGGTCAGACCTTGAGGCAGGTGTCCCCCAAGGTGGAATTCTTTCCCCTCTATTGTTCTCCATTTTCATCAATTTAATTTCTCCTATCCTCCACAATTCTCACCATCTGTATGCAGATGATCTGCAAATACATGCGCAGGCCAAGATTAACTGCCTGGATGATGCGATACTAGCGCTTAATGAAGATCTGCGGCGTATCGCTGATTGGTCGAGTGAGTTTGGCATCAGTGTCAACCCAAGTAAGTGCCAAGGTATTGTCGTGGGTAGTTCTCATGCTTTGACTAGGTAGGACATGAGCTCTGTCGCGCCTCTTTCTTATAATGATACACCTATAGTTTTCGCACCTCATGTTGTGAATCTGGGACTACACATTGATAGTACTTTAAGCTGGAAACCTCAGATTGACTGCATTAGTCAGAAGATCATTGGTACCTTAAGATCGTTCTACCAATTCAAACACTTTCTTCCCATCTCAACAAAAATTCTCTTAGTACACGCCATTACAGTGCACGGTTGCTATTATAAGCAATCGTCAAGCACCCGGGAGGACCCTGAGAGAAACCGGGAAAAACTTGTTGATGAGCTCAACCATGTTTTGGAACATATATCGTCGTGGGGCTCCCGAAACTTGGTTGAGTTCAACGCCAAGAAAACCCAGGTATGCGCGTTCAGCTCCAAAAAATCCCCATTCCTTCCACTTCCCCATCTTCAGGGTACAACGCTGACGCTGCAGGACAAGCTCAGCCTACTGGGGATGAGCATCCGGAAGGACATGAGCAGCAAAGACTATATCGAGAGCGTCATCTGTACCGCGTCGCGCAAGCTTGGCATCCTGAACAAGGTGCACCGATTTTTTACTCCAGAGCTGCGATACCTGTTGTATAAAGCTCAGGTCCGAAGCAGCATGGAGTACTGTTCGCACCTTTGGGACGGCTCTGCCAAGTACTTGCTCGATGCCCTAGATGGACTGCAGCGCTACGCCTTCCGTGTTGTCAACGATCCTCATGTAACTGAGCATGCGGAGTCGTTACAGCTTCGCAGAGATATAGCGTCTCTTAGCGTATTCTATCGCCTGTACCACGGTGAGTGCTCTGAAGAGTTATTCAACCTTATCCCTTCCTCTCCTTTCCATCAGCGGACCACCCGTGCCGGACTGCGTTGTCACAGATGGACGGTCAGTTCAATACCGTCCCGCACTAAAAAGTTTGGCAATTCGTTTTTATCCACCATCAAATTGTGGAACCAACTCCCGGCGCATGTATTCCCTCCCCTCTATAACATCGGGTCCTTCAAACGTAGTGTGAAGAAGCATTTGGCCAGACCGGCAAAATGATAGTGACGGAGTGAAGATATTTGTGTTTTCCATCCGTTACTCTCATCTCTGGACTGTATTCGCACTTTCCATCAGGCGCGGTGCAGTCATTTTGCCGAGTCACAATAAATAAAAAAAAAAATAAAAAAAATATTATTCCTATATTATGCTGATGTGTGTTATGCTGATATCACCCAGGAACTTCTCAACAAATTGGATCGCTTGCTCAATAGTTGCATTCGCTTTATTTTTGGACTTCTAAAATTTGATCACGTGTCCGCATCTCGCAATGAGCTGAAGTGGCTTACGATTCACCAGAGTCGTGATTTGAAAATACTTTCCACTCTTTACTCTATCATTAATGATAAATGTGCACCTGGATATTTGAAATGTAAATTTCAATATTTGGGTGCATCCCATAATCTTCTTCGATCAGACAGCAAATTGACTCTTTTAATTCCTTCTCACCGCACTGGTTTTCTTTCTAACTCATTTACTCTTCAGGCAATATGACTCTGGAATGCTCTAACGCCCCATATTCAAAAAGCCGAATAAACTAGCTTTCAAGCAATTAGTCCGTGATTTCATATTGGAGTCTCAATCTACATCCCATTAGCTGACATTGTTATATATAAATATGTATATTAAATATATATGTGTATATATTATATATTTATGTGTATACAGGTTGCTTATATATTTATATTCTGTTTAAACTATATATCATAATTATTTATAAACTTCTTCCTATCTGTTTTAATTGTCATGTTATGCATGCTGTGATAATTATTTTGAACCCAGCTCTCCGGGTTGACGGGTAGAGAATGCCTAATGGCATTAAGTCCGCCATTTGTACTATTTTGTGTGCAATTAAGTTTAAATAAATAAACCATTCGATGTATGCCCGTTTATTCTAACGCAACCGGTGCAATCCCTATACAAAGACTGCAACGCTGAATCGGACGGCTGCTCACCCCATACATTGACAAAGCTTTCCACAGCTCATTTCTTACCACCCTATCATAAGCCTTTTCTAAGTCTACGAAGGCGCAGTACACTTTTTACCCTTTTGCTAAGTATTTTTCAGCTATGCACCTTAAAGAAAAGACTTGATCCATGCATCCTCTTCCATTCCTGAATCCCGCTTGAACTTCAGCATTCCTGCTGTGACCCTTTTCTTTTATATAGAGGAATAATTACTGATTTACACCAATCTTTTGGTACTGTGCCCTTCCTCCAGCTTATATTAAAAAGGCGGTGCAACATACTGACCACTAAGCCTCCTCCAGCCTTCAGCATCTCTACCGACACTCTATCATAACCTGCTGACTTTCCCGCTTTCATGCCTTTCAGTGCTTTCAAAATCTCATCATCGTTTATTTTACTTTCGTCCTCATTTTCATCATTCTCACCTTTCGTGCTCACCACAGTGATTTCTTCAACTTTTTCAAATAAACTTTCCATCAGTCAAGTATACATTTCTCTTCCTTTATGATGTTTCCATTCTTATCTCTGAATATATTGTGCTGTGAGTCACACAACTTTCCTCTAGCTGCTCTTATGGACTTCCAATACCACTTTACGTTACGTTACAATTTTCATAAATATATATATTACATCATCAGTCGTCGCGTGAGCTCTCAGCGTGCAGATGTTTGTTATTCTATAATGTGTGTATAATGAGTTAAGCATTGTAAGATATGCATGTACGCTGACGACACCTGTTTAGTTTACGCTGACAAAAACTTGGCAATAATTGAATATAAGATTCAGGAGCATTTACATAATATTGTTAAATGGTCTCACGATAATGACATAATCATAAATCACGGCAAAACAAAATGTATGTGTGTATATTCACCCTATAGTAAGGTCTACTTTGACAAACCTATAGTGTTTGGTCTTTCTTATGAATGTCTTCACAAGCAGAAAAGAAATTGTAATGCATTAGAATTAGTAGATAACTTTAAGTATTTGGGGTTAACAGTAGATAGTAAATTTTCATGGAAGTCGCATGTGGAGAACGTCTGTTCTAAACTTAGACTGACTTTAGGAACTTAAATTTGTTGCGAATAAGGCCACTTTGTATACCGTGTATTACGCGCTTGCTGAGTCTATTTTTGCGTATGGTCTGAGTAGTTATGGGCGTACGTTTAAATCTTATTTAGAACAAATTAAGCAACTACAAATAAGGTACTTGAAATTGTTAGAAGATAAAAATGTAAAAGAAAAATGTGACAAAACTATGTGAAATTATTCTCGATTTGTAATGTATCGCCAGTGCAAGAAAAAATCAAACTATTATTAGCTTTTCAGGAATACAGAACGGATGACTTTAAGAATTGTGCTGAACATTCTTATGTCACTAGGTCTGTTAATAATAAAGAATATATTGTACCTAGAACCGTAAATTACTTTGGTCAAAGAATTCTTATATTATCTTAAATTATTTATTAATTAATTCTTATGCCTGTCATATACAGGCTGTATACTCGTATTTGAAAGTGAGACATACTTATAGAGTGCGTTACATTCCTAATTCTGAACCCAAAGAAATAATAAACTAATGAACTTAAACTTTATAAATGATTTTTTTTTTATCGACTACTACTTGTGAACAACATTAGTTATCGAAAGCTGTGCACATCACTATTAAAGCTCCGACGCAGCCGCGGGCGGCGGCATGGCTTTGTTCTCTGGCACGGCGGCGAAAAACAAAGCACAGGTCGGGGGTGGGGGCGCGAGCGCATACGCGAAATTGCTCAGTGCACGCGCGACCTTGATCTAACGACGACACGTAAATTATTTGTACTGCCGCTCACCCGATCGCCGCAAAATGGATATTTATTCTAACGTCGAATTGACTGAGATGGTGCGACTTTACGCAATAAGTGGTGATAGTGTGAGGCAAGCTATTGAAATGTTCGTGTCGAAGTGTTGCGTGAGAGGATTATGTCAGCATTTTATACTCTGAGACAAAATGTGTGTGTTGATCAATTTAAAAACAAAATTTACTACGCCATGCTAGACTATGCATTGTGGAAAACGGTGGACATTTGGAACACTTGCTCCGTACCACGTAAGTGTAAATAAACTGTAAATAACTAAAAAATCAATCATTGTAAATAACTTGATTTCACATTTTTAACTACGCCAAAAACCTCAATTCTTATTAAATGATAACTAGTTACTAAATCATAAACTTATCTTTTTTAGTACGTAAAATATTTCGATGATAGTTTAAGTAAAAAATAATTAACATAAGCTAAAACGTAATCATTTTGATAACAGCTTTTCCATCATAACATGAATGAGTAGGTGAGTAACATAGTTTCTATTTTCTAGAGAAATGTGGCGCTTGTCCACTTGGTGGTGTAGTTGGAGTCGGTCCTAAGCCCGCGAAAACATAGGAAGGGAGATGTAAAATTATTGTTACTGTTGCTGTCTTACTCGGCGCTCGCTTGGTAGTATTCCCATTGCACTCGAAATCAAGCGCAAAGGGAATCGGTTTATTCCTATGTACACTCCAAAACACATTTGTTGATTTATTTTTTGTTCTATGCCATATCCTAATTTTATTTTAGTCTATGTTAAGTTGTAACATGATTTACTATGACATGTATAAATATGTCCCACTTTCAACTATACACCTGTATATAGGTTTATTGTTTATAATGAGATTGTGTCTCCGCCTATAAACTGCTTTGCAGTTTGGCGGGCTTTGAATTTGTAGCCAAATATAATTTTTTTGGAATAAACGATTTATTTTTTTTAACACAAATTTAACTGAATAAATGTACAAATGTAGTGTTGCTAATGTAGGATTGTTAATTTAAAGACGCAGTGACTCTTTAATAAAGCGCGAAACACACAGAAAGCGGGTGCGGGTCGGGTGGGGTCTGGGCTGCGGCGGTTCTAATTCCGTGTATTTATATGGATGCGAGACGGTGCACGCGCCCGCGCTCGGTGTGTTGTCTTCCCCCGACCCGTACCCGACCTGCACCCGATGTCTGTGTTTTACGCTTAAATAAAAACCACCGACCTGTTCCCAAGCCCTGGTCCTCTCTTGGTACTGCAAGCCGGCGTCGCTCTGCCGCAGCAGCGCCGAGAGCAGCTGGCGACTGGCAAGACTCAGCGCCGGGTTTTCTCCCAGGCACACCAGCTGGCAAAACGGCCGGAGCAGCTCCGACATGCTCTCCAACGGAATGCTCCCGCCTGACACCTGGAGTGACACAGGGCAAGTCGTCAAAAGAACCGCATTCGCATCGAGACAGATCTAGAACATACTCGTTCACATAGTCACCGAAACAATGTATTGCAAACTAAATTTCCCGATCGCATAATTTCACGAAATTCAGCCGTTAAGTGGTCAGCTCGATCATGTGATTTAACACCGCTGGATTATTTTTTATGAGGTTATGTTAAAGACAGAGTCTATACGGAGCCAATCGAATCTATTACAGCCTTAAAACTCAAAATTCGTGAAGTGATTAACGAAATAGACCCACCATTTTGTCAAAAAGTGATTAAAAACTTTGATGAAAGAATCGACATCCGTACCTGTGGTCGTGGTGGACATTTATCAGATATCATTTTTCATTCATAATTGCCAAACTTGACTTTTACAATACAATAAAAATTTCAATTATTGTCATCTATTTTTATTGTTTTATTTAGATTACAAAACAAAGTTCTTGTTGAAAAACCTTTTATAATGTACCCTACCTTATTTGAAGCAAATAAATGAATTATTATTTTTGTTATTATTACCCTACGAAACCGAAAAAGCAACGCTTGGCGCGGCAGACCACCGCAGCGCTGGATGGACGACATCCGACGACACGAAGGTCGGAACTGGATAAGTCGGGCACAAGATCGCCAAGAGTGAAAGAAAAGGGAAGAGGCCTACATCCAAGATTGGATAACAAAACGGCCGTCATCATGATGATGTTTTGTCACCAATGGCAAGAACTGAGATTTTTTTTATCCCGTTTGTCACCACCTGGAAACATGAGATTAGTTCCCATTTGTCGCTAGTGGGAACAAAGCCAGTGGTAACGACTGGGAATAAGATATAATTAATCTTACTATTAAAAGTTTAGGCAGCGGACAGTAATGGACTTTCATAGGCATGATTTTGCAGGGCTTGGCCGGCAAGAAGTCGCAAGGTCCATAAATGAAAAACTTTCCATGTTAATTTTTTGGAACATTTCCGAGCATGTTTGAGAAATAGATATTTACTAAACAACCGTGTAACTAGTCGCTTAACATCAACAGAGATTGTGGCCCAACGTTAGAATATTTTAATTTAAAAAAATGCTCAGATCTGCCCCGTAGTATGCCGCCTCAATAAAGGTGTTATGGCTGCAAGATCACAGCTTTTAAAACATTTGCACAATTATTTTATCAACATAAAAATTTAACGCGACAAACGAGATTTTTTGTTCCATGGTTTTCGCGGCGATGATTAAACGACAAAGATATACGCAATTTCATATCGTTGTCCTTGTTCTTCAAACGTCACGAGGAGGTTCATCACACATATTCTGCCATGCTACTACAGCCACTGGTGAAATTACAGGCACATGGGACTTATCAACTTATGTCTCAAGGTGACAGGCGCTGTGGCAGTGCCCCTCAGATCTTTGCGATTTAAAGCACATACGTGTAGCGGACCATCAGGCGCAGGACTTGTCCGTCCCGTCACTTAATATTATAAAAAAATAAAAATTACCTTAGCTAATTCTTCTAGGAAGCAATCAATAATATGTAGAATCATCGACGTGGCGTTGCGAGCGTACACCGGCGTGTTCACACACAATAAACCTGAAATGATTTTGTCTATTACATAAAACGCGCGTAAAGCCGTTTTGATTGAAACTGAAATTCGTCGAAAAACAATTAAGTACAAAACATTTTGATATTTTGTACGGTATTAACTCACTAATAAATCGCGGAGAGTATGCGATGGAATTACACGATTTAATTCCGCCTTCCCCTTCCCATCACTAGGAGACTAGGCGTAGGCTTGGCTTCCACCCCTGTGTTGTGGATATTCCAAAGATTCGCAAGAAGTGTTACGCTTAGACATTAAAATAGCGAACGGCTATAGAGTGGAATTCCCTGTCTGCAGACTTGTTCCCTGAACGTTATAACTTGGATCTTTTCAAGGCGAGAAATAATATATTATCTCATTTACAAAGCAACACTAAAGCCAGTTTGGTCTTATGTAGTGTAGTGTAGGGTCATGGAAAAATTTCCATTTTGAAAAAATTATATTTTCATAAGTTGAAGTTACTGAACGAAAACGATGGTGTCGGATGGAACAATAAATGGTGGTGGTGTGATTGCTGGAGGAATTTTCGCTATTGTGAAATCTGATTAAATCTCGCTTTTCTTTATGTGGTTTTCAGCTATACAAATTTATTTTATAATTCACGCTAAATAACACTTCAAAAGATATTTCTAAACGTAGAACATAATATGACCCTTCGAAATTATATTTTTCCAATTTTTTTGGAATTATTCCGAAAAAAAATCCACTACATCCACTACACGCAACAGTCTTATGGCATACAATTCTGGGGCGTTGCTGGCACCTCTAATATGAAGTTTCTACGAATTTCTTGACATGCCCACAGTTAGAGAAGAAATAGCCGTCTATGGTTATAAATACAGAACTCAGCTAGAATATCACCCAAGTTAACAAGCGAAGCACACCATGCCTGAAAATATACGAAGACTAAAAAAGGCGTGACATTTTTGACCACGATACTCAGCAAAATACCTAACTACACAATCTACAGGGCTGGGCTCCACTGGGAGTAGCACCCTTTCCATTATGAACTACATACAACTCATCTGTGTATAGCCATGAAGGTTGTTTGCAGGATTTAAAAAAAAACCTACTCGTGTGTGTCTTTGGCACGCGCGATACAGGGTTTCCCTAGTGCGGGGCTATGAGTGTGTGCAAAAAAAATATTGAGCACTTACCGTCTTTTGCAGTGAACATCTTGGAGTACATCTTGCAGCTGTGCACGCTCCAGTCGCAGCGTTGCAAGCACCGGAGGCTCCCGCGAAGGTAGCGTCGGACAAGCTGAAAATGCATGCAGGCTTAATTTACATAGCCGTGGTAAATTGTACATAGCACAATGAACTTCTTTTGCTCCTGTATTTTAATCTGACGATTATAATTTCATAAACCATATCACAAAGGCGGTCTTTTCAGTTCTGAATCAAAATTCTATTGTCTATGGGACTCGCTACTGCACTGGAAAATTTCATTATAGTTCTGTACACAGAAAAAGAACGTCATATTTTTACTCATTAAATTGTCAAATATGACACTATTTAAACTCTCTGTCTCCTGATAGGTTAAAATATAAGAGGCACTTGGCGACTTCTATTCTATCTCGCTGGTTTTTTGTTTTGTAGCGTTTGTTTGTTTTGCCTATCCAAATAAATGGGTGATATTGATTTAAAAAAATTGCGTTTGTTGTCATGAATTGTTAACAAAATATACACTATATTTCGTCGCTTCATTCTCGATATAATATTTAACCAGGTAGTTTACTTAACTTGCTAGGCAACACTGCATGGTTTTTAAAGCAAAAAAAAGTTTTGACGTAGACACTCCCTACCACGCATCAACCGCCATTTTCTATCCTCATTCCTTTGTCGTGCGTGGCAACAAGCACACCTCCACAGCTCCGTTAAAATGTCAACGCGAAGAAACTTAGAAAAAATGGAATATTATAAAAGTAAACTGAAATACTTGGAAAATACAGATGCCAAACGTCGTCGGCGTTATAGGATCATAATATCATCGGTCGAGTCCGATATTGGTCAAGGTAAGATTTTTTCATACGCTCATAAATAATGAAAATAAAAATATTCATTTTTACCATATAGCACTACTTGCGACTTCCGCAACGATAATAAATGTTCGTTTTCATACCTCGCAAATGTGAATCTAACTCACATTTAATAAAACATCGGGTTAACTGAGAGTTATCCCTGATAACCAAATCGAACATGGATTGGTGAACATCCGAACAGATATACTAATTTGTGCATTTTACATGATTTATAATAAAACTGCCTCGGGGTTAACCGCGAGTTAACCACGATAACGAAATCGACTGCGAGTCGATTTTAATTTGAACAATATTAGTTCCTACGTGATAATGTTAATAATAAGTAAAGATTAAAAAAAAAAGTTTCGTCGGGGTTAACTGCTAGTTAACCACGATAACGAAATCGACTGTGAATCGATTTTAATTTGAACAATATTAGTTCTTACATGCTAATAAGCAAAGAATTTTTTAAAATAAAATTACGTCGGGGTTAACTGCGAGTTAACCACGATAACGAAATCGACTGTGAATCGATTTTAATTTGAACAATATTAGTACCTACGTGCTAATAAGTCAAATAAATTTTTAAATAAAATTACGTCGAGGTTAACTGCGAGTTAAAATTATTGATGACCAAGCAAATGGTACTCTTGGTTTTCCATATTAGCCTTCCCAGGCATGGTTCCTCCTACTGCAAAGCCTGTTGGATTCCGACGTAATATACTTTAACTCAAGCGGATCATTATTAAATCTTATTGCAGGCGGCCTCATCGGTAAGGCTGGTGCCTTACCCTTTCTGTCGTTATCAACGCGCTCGTCGCTTCCCGCAGAGTTCCACAAGAGGCGACTTTACCCTTAGCTTCTCTTTCTTAAAATACACTTGGACAATATAATGTGTCCCTAAAGCTCTGGTGAGAATTGTGCAATAATAACAGTCCCTCCCATCCAGTCCAGTAAATCCCTTTAACGTGTCAATGACATAAATAATAAAATTCTTAACGCAGGAATTATAAGTCCGTATGGAACCTTGAACAGCCACTCGCTCGCTCTGCTTTATCTCTTTTATAGCCTGAAACAGGCTCAGACGCCCGCATAAAAAGGTTACTTAAGAGCGCATTTAGATTGAAACCCAGTGCACAAAAATATAGCAGTACTTGGAATCCCCAAGTCGTTCTCGCATTAGTTTCAACGTGGTTTCCCAACACAGAACTTCCTTTTCAAAAACTTACGAAAAAACATGTTATTTTACTTGTACTTAGTACTGCACATCGCGTACAAACTGGCATTGATTAAAATGAAAAACATACAAATATCAGATATCCCGATTAAAATTGCAATACCTGATTTAATCAAAACGTCTGCGCCTGGTCGCGTACAGGCCACATTAATTTTCCATATTTTAGAGAGGATCCAAGTATTTGCCTTGTTGCAGTTTACAAACATTATATTTTGGTAACATAAAATAAGACAACTGGATGTCAGGGAACGATCTTGCTGACATACAGAGCTCCCCACAGAGTAGCCACGAGTCAGGCCGTGAGCCGATGTGTACGGCAGGTGTTGGAAGCGGCGCGGCGGGTGTGGACACAGCAGTTTTCGGCGCGCACAGCACGCGGTACGCCTCCGCGCCGGCCGCGCGGTCGGGTGAGGTGCCGATAGAGCTCATACGCAAGTTTGCGAGTTGGACTCCGACATCTCACATCCTTTACTAGATTTTATAATAAACTAATACTTACTGAAGACGAACACATGTTCGCAAGAACCATTTGCTTACAATAATATATATATATATATATATATATATATATATATAAAGCGGCAAATTATACTGTTCTAAATTACTAACAACAATAATCGTGATTTATAAAATTATTATATGATTGTACTATTTAAAAATTGCTATGATTGTGATATCAGGTGAAAAACCGTTATATGTTCATATCTATATGAACTTGTATTTAATAAAATGAATTTATATTTAATAAAAATATAATATAGTTGTATGGTCTCACCATACATACTTAAGTACAAATCTGCGCACGCGGCAACCAACTTAGGCCGCGCGCAGCTCTTTGTTTTATATAACTAATTAATCTTTAATTTTAAATCAGTACGTCACCAACTGTCCACAGAGACACTACTTAAGGAAAGATTTGCCACCTAACACTTGTAACTTATTACGAAAATATACTTTGAACTTTCAAGCAATCTTTCTCTTCGTGCTACTCTACTACTACAACTAACTTACAACTACAGTGCATGTATGGACTACACCTGGCCCATACAATAGTTATCGATTAAGCCTGTGGTTTTTAATTTACATAAAATCAACTAGAAGCAAAACTGAATACTCTAAAAGTCCACCTGGTTAAATATTATATCGAGAATGAAGCGACGAAATATAATAGATGATCAGACGAACTTCTTGAAGTGAAGTTCGATCACCATTATGTGAGTCGCTTCATTCGAAGATATAATCAATACCCTCCCTCCCTTGATATCGTCATATCAGAAGTAAGATTCTGAAACTCCCAAATAAGTTTTGCTTCCCACTGTAAAAGGAATGAGGATAGAAAATGGCGGTTGATGCCTGGTACGGAGTGTCAACGTCAAAAATATTTTTTTTCTCTAAAAACCGTGCAGTGTTGTCTAGCAAGTTAAGGAAACTACCTGGTTAAATACTATATCTTCGAATGAAGCGACTCACATAATAGTCATCGAACTTCACTTCAAGAAGTTAGTTTGATCATTTATTAAATATTGGTTGTCTTTCATTATTTTATCTACGCACATGTCATAAACCCTCTATTATGTGTACAAAAACCGCTAATTACGACCAGCATAAAGATAAACTGTTTTGTTGAACGAATTTCTTATCGGTGAAAATGTCATTATTGCTTAACATCATCGCGTATACAGGGTGTTTGGAAGGTCGATGCAAAGCGTTAATGTGAAGATAGTATAGACTATTTAGAAGCATTTTAGGTAGGGTTGTCTAAGACGAAGTCTAAACATTTTTTTAAATTTAAATTTTAAGATTTTTTGAGAAAAAGCCAATAATTTTAGAGGTATGGGCTAATAAAGACCAGCTCAAATAATAACTCAATTATTTTTTATTTTATTTCAATAAAGTAATGTGCACACAGTCTAATAAAACATGTTCTAAGCATCTGTATCGTGGGAAATATTTATACAGGCTTTTAAAGTTTACGAAAATGATGAATAATTAACGAAACCGGTTTTTTGACGTCATTTAAAAAAAAATGGCAGGTGGTGTTTTTGTTCAAACACTTTTAAAAACATGCTTGGTTATTGCTGTTTCTTTTAAGGTATCATTTATGCAGATACGTAATAAATTATTGAAATTGGGACCTACAAACCAAATTGAGAAAGAAAATTATTTTTCAAACCAGTCGAATAAAACATAATTTTTAGTCATTTAACTTATTTTTTAGTTGGAAATGATAACTGAGAGCAACTCTAACACTTATTGCGCACGTGTACAATAATCGTAAGGTATCGCCAAATAACAGCCAATGCGCACGGTGCGAGGACGGCAATAAATTGGGGTTTTCCAGGCAGGTGAATAGGGGATGGCGAACATTGCTAAAACGACGTTTCTGTAGCCAGGAGTAGGGAGAGTATTAAGGGAGTCGTCACATTTTTAGTTAGTCAAGTGACAACTGCCCGTGTTACTAGACGTTATTTCCGTATTCGTGATATTTCACCTTCACCGTGTTCAGCTGTAGCCCTTTGCGCTCCTGCACGTGTTGATTTTAGACTATTATCTATTCACTTGCGTTGAATTGACTATGGCTACTTTTTCAAATGCGGAATATGCGGATATCGTATTTATGTATGGAAGAGCAGACGGCAATGGATCCTTGGCGCGGCGAATGTATCAAGAGCGCTATCCGAATCGCAGGGTGCCGCACGTTAGAGTGTTTTACAACACATTTCGTCGTCTTTCTGAAAGTGGAATACACCGTGCGGAACCTGGAGTCAACCCTGGTAGACACAGTACTAGCACCGAGGAAGATATTTTGGCAGCATTTGAAGCGGATCCTGGAACAAGCGTCAGAGTAATAGCTCGAAATCTAAACATTTCCCAATGGAAAGTGTGGAAAACACTGAACTCTAATAATAGGTATCCGTTCCACGGAACAAGTGTGCAAGGTCTGGAAGAGCAAGATCCTCACAGAAGGATTGAATTCTGCCGTTGGCTCCTTAATGGAGACATTGAAAATGCGTGGTTCCTGAAATCAATCTTGTGGACGGATGAAAGTAAATTTTCTAGGGAGGGAATTACAAATTTTCACAATTTACATCAATGGGCCAATAAGGATAATAATCCGCACTGGAAAAAGCAGGTGACTTTCCAAAGGAAATTCTCTGTCAATGTTTGGGCGGGAGTAATTGGCAGAACCTTGATTGGTCCGCACTTCTTACCGGATAATCTGAATGGTGATAATTATTTAGAATTTCTGCAAAACGACTTTCCAGCGCTTGCAGAGGAATCTGGTGCCCCAATATTTGATACCGACCGGGAAATCATCTTCCAGCAAGACGGCTGTCCAGCACATTGGACATTAAATGTAAGAGAACACTTACATAATTCCTTCCCTCAAAGCTGGATCGGCAGAGGTGGGCCCATCCCTTGGCCCGCTCGGTCACCGGACCTGACCCCGATGGACTTTTTTGTGTGGGGTCGGGCCAAAGAACTAGTGTACACGAGTGTGGAAATAAACACCAAAGAAGAATTAATACAAACGACGGAGCCATAGACACAAAAGTTGAAGTTGAAGTTGAAAGAATTAATTCGGCTTTTGCTACCATGAAGCTGGAAATGATGTTGAAAACAACAACTACAGAAATAAGAAAACGTGCCTGTGCTTGTGTTAGAAATCGCGGCGGTCATTTTGAACATCAATAAATAACACATGCTTTCAGTTAAAATATTGTTTTATTACTCTGCCTTCAAAATTAAATACGCCTTTAATTTGGTTAAAAGGACCTAATTTTAAGAATTTGTAAGATATTTGCATAAATGATACCTTAAAAGAAACAGCAATAACCAAGCATGTTTTTAAAAGTGTTTGAACAAAAACACCACCTGCCGTTTTTTTTTAAATGACGTAAAAAAACCGGTTTCGTTAATTATTCATCATTTTCGTAAACTTTAAAAGCCTGTAAAAAATATTTCCCACGATACAGATGCTTAAAACATGTTTTATTAGACTGTGTGCACATTACTTTATTGAAATAAAATAAAAAATAATTGAGTTATTATTTGAGCTGGTCTTTATTAGCCCATACCTCTAAAATTATTGGCTTTTTCTCAAAAAATCTTAAAATTTAAATTAAAAAAAAATTTTTAGACTTTGTCTTAGACAACCCTACCTAAAATGCTTCTAAATAGTCTATGCTACCTTCACATTAAAGCTTCGCATCGACCTTCCAAACACCCTGTATAACCAGAAATAGAGACGAAATGTCATTTAATTTGTTTGGAAACTATTCTGCCATATCATTACTGTGATAACTGCGCTCCGATTGGCCAGCCCGAGTTCGAAACAGTTGACGGTTGTCGTCAATTGCTTCACTTCAAGACGATCAAGTTAACTTGAGCTTTGCTATAATGGACGAAAATTGCAAAATTACATATTTAATATTTAATTACCGATGAAATGTGATTCCGTTTGTTTTGTAATTAGATGTTTTGTTGTTTTTCACACACGACCGAATAGAACAGCACAGCATTGTTAGAGATATTATCTTTATTACAATAAATACAGAATTATTTCCGGAATATACGGAGAAGTACACACAGGTCAGTAGTTGGCCTGTCTGTATTTCAGTGCAAACGAGAGTTGATTAGAGAGCTCTTATTTCGTCTCTATTTCTGGTTATATACACGATGCTTAATATTAACATCAAATTTGATTTTATTATTAAATTCAAATTTCGACCATCTCCGAAAAACAAAACAATTTGATTCGACCTCAATCTAATATCAGTCGAGATGAAGTTCTATTCGAAATGAAATGTCAATAGCAAACAATTTTGACAAATTTCACACGTTACGATATGATAGATGGGGCCGACACTAGAATGTCTATGAATAAAAAAAAAAAACTACGGTTGCGTGACATGCGTCGGAAAAGTTTTTATTTATGACAGTTAGATGCACGCAGTCGCTGCGCAAAAACATATGAGAAGTACTCAACAGTGTATTTTTTTAGCACCTGTCTTCTCTTTAGACTCGCATGATTTGTTTTAACGAGGCCTTCCATCTGCGTTTCATTTGTCGTTGAGGAGGCCGACGCAACGAACACAGCGAAAGCGTATAAACAAGTTTTGAAGTCAGTTTTTCTTTTAATGAAAAAAATTATAAATATTCTGTATAAATATTAATAAACTTTGAAGTGAAGTCTTTTCTCCAAAATCATACAAATTGGCTATGTATCATCAATAAAATAAGTTGCTAATTCTCCATTAATGATAGAATGAATGTAAAATTAACTTGCCATAAGACATTTGTCGATTCTGTGCTGATCTATTCCATACCACTCAGCGGCCAGAACCTTAAATCCACTTTTAACCAGCAGCAGTGCATGGCGGAGCTGGTCCGGTGGGAACTGGTCCAGGATACTTGCAATGTTATCGCAGAGCTCTTCCTGAAATTGTAAATTTTGTGGTCAGATACTTTGTCCGCAGACGATGCGATGATAGATAGATCGATAAAGCATTTATTCAGATGCTTATTACAGTATACTTATTGCACTACACGATTTCAAGGGCCCTGTGTGAAGGGTGGGCGTCGCCCCTTAAGTGGGCAGCCTCGTATTAACTTATATATTGTGTGAGTTATTTATTTATACGTATACAAAGATTGAAAACTCAGATGAAGTTCCTTAGATCCGGCCGGATTCGAACCAACGTCTTCTAGCATACCGTGCCAGACGCTATGCCAACTAAGCCACGGAACGAACGGAACGAATTTTTCTATGTGCTTGCGTCGCATCTTTGTATTTAGTTTGGTAACGTGTGGTGGTGTAATAAATGCTATATTATGACATTTAAGAGATCTTCAGATGTACTGTATGTAATACTCTGGTCACACAGAGGCGGCCGCGGTGGGGTGGCGCGGCGCGGCCCCGAACGCTCATGTCATGTTTATTATACAAACAGGCACACAGGCGGACCGGGTACGGGGCGGACCCGCGGCGAATGCAGGGCGGGTGCGGGCGTGCGAATTGTATTCCATGGAGTTCTTTATTCATACAGCCCTTAAGTTGACATTCTCAGCAAAATGAATTCTATAAAATTAGCAACATGACGTAGGTTTCAAGTTCAGGTAATATACCTGCACAAGGGGCTTGTCGGACATCCAGACGGCGTAGAACAGGCCCTTCCAGATCCTTGTGAAGTCATCTTCTTTGAACTCTGTCAATATAATAATAATAAAATTTATATTGATTAGAAAGCAGTATGATACGTAAATATCATCACGCCTGCGCCTAGTATGGTGCTCACTTGCTCCTATCCAACCTCTTTCGCCGTCTATACTTGCATCACTCTGTTCATATATGCCTGTTTATTATAGCCACATTGAACTTGGTTTTTTTAAAGGTATCCCAATACACTCAATTCCATTCACAAGTATAAGAATAGAATATTTGCAGTGCCACTCTGAGCTTTAAACCATGAAGGGGCATTGCCACTGCGCCAATAATCAGAGAGGTAAGTTGAGAAGTTCCATGTGCCTGTAATTTCTCCAGCACCTTCACCTTTCTAAACCAGAATGCGGTAATGCTCATATTCCATTCCATGATGGCAGAAATAGGTACGGTGGCAGTACTTCTCTGGATGAACGCTTTCACAAGAACCTCTACTGTTAATTGAATATAATTGTGCCGTTAACACACGTTGCACTGCAGGATGTATGTAAATGCAAGTAGGACGATGCAAGGAGATAGAGAGATGCAAATTGCAATGCAAATGATTGGAGTATTATTAAATAATGTAAATAAAACGACCGTGTCCGAACGAGACAATAATAACACTCATTTATTGCAAAATATACATCGATCAGCGTGGTGTTGCAGTAAGCATAAATCGAATACATATGATATCGTGCGGGTTTACTTGTGCATATTAAAATAATAAAATGTAAATCATAAAAATGTACGGTTTCACTCGTACAATAATAACGCCTGCTTAAAGGTACAACCATATAAGTGACATTTTTGCCAAAAATGACTTAAATACACAGTTGTGATAAGAAAATCACGATTTTTCTACTGGTAAAACCTAATATTTGATAGCTTGCTTAGTTCGTGAGTTAGACAGTGAAAATACCAGGTAAGAGATAGCTTTTGGCAGAACGTATTCATGAGAAGTCGAATAAGAAACATTTAATAACATAATACTTAAAAATGTCTTCAAGTAAAATACTTATATGAAAACAACTTACGTCTTTCATATTACAAAATACCTACAACAATAATATACTATTACAATTTATTTGATCCTGCGAGTAGCTTTCGGACGAAGTTGGTAGGCGGAAATGGTACAGGTAAAACAAAATAAAATCAAATATTACGTGTTTTGCACATTGACCTACCAAGTTTTGCAACATTGTTTTTTAATCAAATTTGTTGTGTTGTTTCCGTGAAAATTGTAATTTTTATTGCGTTTCATCAACATGGAAGAGAACACTAGATCAAGGAGTAAAAAGAAATAAGCTGGTAAATATTTTTATCGTATTTTTTTGTCTAACAAGGTTTGAGGTTATGCTAACCGAACTTTTTTTTTAATGTGCAAGCAATATGATAATATTGCTTAAAAAGTATTATAAATGATACTCCTAAATTGATTTTAACCCACTTCAAAAAAAGGAGCAGCTTCTCAATTCGATTATTTTTTTGATTTTTTTGCTGTACGTTGTTCAGATAATTGATCACATCCAGATAATCGATCGTAAGTTCCTAGAGTCAGGACATAGCTAACTGGAGGTAGACTCTATGCACAGTTCCATTGAAAATTATATAAATCACTCCTCTGTTTACATTAACATTCTTTCAGAACAATTTAAAAAATATCGAGTTCTTAGGTTTTCGCGATTGTTACACATAGGAAATGAAACTATTTTTCCGGATTTAAATCGCGTATATTTGTTTTTTCAAACAAATAGTGTATTTCACTATATTTTAATTTAATAAAGTATATCAAAAAATTTTACGAAAAATCTAAAAAATCCAAAAATTCTTATTAAAAACAATTTTTCGATTATGTGATCTTGTTTTTTTTATATATATAAGTAACCATTTCCTACATGGATTTGTAATGACGATTTTTCTTATCTGAGTACAAAGATTTTTTAAAGAAACATCTCATCTGTGTCGAAGTAACGTAGTGTCCAAGTAAAAATCATGTCGATGTAACGTGTGATCGGAGTAGCATAGTGTCTGAGTAATGTCGAAGTAATATATTGTCGGATAGCATGTGTCGAACTTCCATTTTAGAGTCACAAAAACAATTATATTTTGCGATTGTACTTTTAATGGATAAAAAAATTGTTATCAACATAATATAGGGCGCTTCAAGTATTCGTAAAACGAAATATTTATATTTTTATATTATTTAATACTTTTTTTTAATAATAATAATAACAACGCACACACTCAACATAGCCTCGCACTAGGGAAAACCCTGTGTTGCGGGTGCTATGACCACACACATAGACAACCATGAATTACACCCAAACACACGAGATAAATAAATGTAGGCCATACAAATATTTCTTCCGGCCCGGGAATCAAACCTAGGACCTCTGCGTGGCATCCGGCGTGGTAACCGTTCGGCCACTATGTTTTAAATTTCAGTCTATAGATTGTAAAACTGACAATCTTTTCTTTTGTGACGCCTGAGAGGCTATTTGGTTTGATTTTTTTCTATTAACAAACATTTTTCTAAAACAAACATGTTTTTTTCTGAACCACATGTTGATAAAATGTTCCATTATAATTAGTAAATCTGTTAGTACGTATTGCATAGGTTACATTGACTTTTAAAGTAACCACTGTGCCATTCAGGTATACAGTTAAAATGTATTAATATTTCTCTCCTTTACATTCATTATTTACAACAATACACGCAAAACCACATGCCATAGTTTAAGTGATAACTTAGCAAAAATATTCAGGTAAAATAACGTACCATATTGTTGTGTGTCAGTTAATGTCAAAATTTTGTAAATTATAGAATACATTTAGAAAATTTCTAGTTTTAAAAGAAATGCCAGCTATTTCTTGTACATTGGTCGTTTGATATCCCTACAGTTTTGTTATAAAGATTAATAATGTGTGCACTATTAAAACCAAGTAACCGACAGTACTGTTCACATACTTCTTAGATTTGCAGAAAAATTAAAGGACTAATTGAGCCAACGAAAGCCTCTTATGCAACTTTAATAATGAATGTATTAATCAAGTAGACTGCAAATGCCTTCAATTTTTAAAACCATTATCTCAAATCAGCAATTTGTGCAGTTATGTGGTTGTACCTTTAAGCAGACAATAATAAAGCATAACAAAAATACAGACTACATGATCATTGGGCTGGACTGCATATAACTATATATAACCCAGCAGTGGCCAAGGTGTGATGTGTCATCTGTTTCATGCCGAATCTAGTTCTCATTTAGCAATTTTAGAAAAAAATACCATAGCGAGAGCTGGCATGAAAAACCTAAGCGACCTATGCTTTTAAAAAAGAATCCTCAAAAATTATCAGATGCAGACATAAATTTATAAGAACAAAAAGTGTTGAACTAGGTTTAAACTACTCAAAACTAGCATTAATACTATTTTTGTAACAAAATTTAAAAATTGAATGAAATTTTTCTGTGCTGACCTCATAGTCGATAAAAAAATCCTACAAATTTTCTTGAGAATTATCAGTCGTAGAGGAAAAATTAAAGTGTTTATTTAGGACTAATATCTAATAAGCGACAAAATCAAATTACAATAACATTTTAAAAAACGGTGAAAATTGTTGTCTCGTTTCCATCGCGCCCCCTTCGCTTCAGTCTGATCAAAAACAAGCCTTAGTTGATAGCGACTTAGGTTTGAATGTTTTCTTTTTGTTATGATTTTGAGGTTATACCGTGGAAAACAGTTTTGAACACGGAAATTGTATAAAATATTCCCTACTTCACAGTTCAAACGTAGAATACATACCGTAGTTTCTCTGGAAACAATTTATAAGCCATTTTTTCAAGCTTTTCACAGCACGATCTCGTGTCTTTTTCTCGTTGTCAGCGAGTAGTCTAGCAAATCTTATTTCCTGAGCGACAATCAACACTTGCTCCCTTTTCGGTTCCACAATAGTCTTCTTCTTGTTCTTTTGCTGTTGTACTTTGTTTTTATCAGCAATTTTCATTTTTAGAATAATCAATGCAAATTACAACTCGATACGAAATAAAACTATTTTACTTTTCACATATTGTGACGTTTAGACATGTGTGATTACTTTTCTTATTAATAATTTTGGCTTGGATACAAGTCCTTTGAGCCATGTCTTCGTTTAATTATATTTCTGTAAATATGGCCGCCCCAAAGAGGATAGGCTTTTTGAGGCGGCGTGCTTGGATTGACTCGGAATTCCTTAGAACGGGCCGATACGGGTATTTTAGTTCGAGATTCGTATAATTTCGCGTTTTAATCTTCGATTAAGGCACAATAGCACTATCCTATTCCACATTAAACTAGATTTCACAAAATAATTGAAAGTCAAAATAGAAACGACACTTTTCCCTCCGAAAGGTCCAGAGCGAATCAATAGATAGCAAGTGTAAGCGATTGTCAAAATTGCCACTTTGGCTAAGATTTGTATGGGTGTTGTCGTACGAGTTGGACGTTCCCTTTGATAGAATAGAAAGTGATTGACATTGGCTACCAATTTATCGTTTGTTACGTCGTGACATACATTGTCTTTCTATTCCTTTGGGCCCTCTGTTATCTATAATTCTATTAATAGAATACTAATAATTGCACATGTTCATTGTTCATTGATATAATATTATATTTTTAATTAATTCAGTAACTAGAATAATATTGAAGATTTATTTAAAAAATATATTAAAAGCACTTAAATTGTTATATTTTGGACAGGTACCTTTAAATAAAATAACCAAAGTATTTGAAATTGCGTGTCCAAGTTTATCGTTAGCTAGGTTACCTAGTAAATAATTAAATATATTCACTACCATTGACTTACATAAGTCAATGTTCACTACGTAATATTTATCGGCAATACAAATTGAAAATTCGAGAACCCTTGTCTTCCTCTCACGAAGAAATGGCGTCTTATTATATTGATATAATAAATCTGTATGTATATTACTCAGCACTAAAGAAAATAATAACTGAATGAGCCTCAGACATAAGTTTTTTTTACTTACTTCGTTTCATCTTTCAGAAAACGAAAGTAACTCCTCTCGTTATCCCGTTTAGAGTTTATACACAGCACAATTCACGACCATTATAAATAGTAAAATGATGTTATATATTATCGCACGTTTCGTAATGAATAAATGAAAAGTATATTCAAATATCAAAGCCGTCTTAGCACGAAAACTGCTCTCCGACAGCGATGTTGTGGTGCGGTATCTAAAGCTGGGGAGGAGCGGAGAATATCCGTTCTCGTTGCTTTTTGTTCTCTGCTTAAGGTCCACAGAACTGTAAATACAGCAGAAGTGATTAGTTAGCGTCTGACGCGTGCCAATTTTAGGTCTCGAAAGACCTATTTGAGCTCAGTCTACCGCTTTCGCTTTGTATGGATGGGTGTGTCATTCTTTCGCGCAAATTCTTTAAAATAGTAGGTATACTACTACTACCACTACTCTAGTACTACTATTATCATTATTTATCTTTAGTCTTCTCAGCTTGTTAGCTGGTTTGAACCACGGTTACGGACCTAAGTCAAGTAAATGCAGTATGGCGTGAATCTACGAGTATGTGGTGGGTGTGTAATAAGATGCTACTTATTATTATTATTATATCTACTTTAGACTCTCGCCTCTCCCAAGGCCTAAACGATTAATTTTGAATTTTTAAATGGGAGAGGCGGTATTTCCCGGCAATGACTCAGTCGGCCGGGGTCAGGGACTCAGGTCCAAGAACCGGCGAACAATACGTGCCGTATCGAGCAGGACCGCCTTCTGCATTTGAAGAAGCGACACGCCACAGAAATCCAACCGCCTCAAGCTGTTAGAGAGGCTGACTGGAATTAACCCATTTGCGGAGAAAACAATTGGGATTATTTCAGTGGAGGTCACATCCCACATGTCGGTGATCTCGTGCGCCAGGTCGAGATACTTCCGGCGTTTCTCGGTTTCAGCTTTCACGAGACTCTCCTCATGCGGGATGGTGACGTCCACAAGAAATACCCTCGACTACGATCGATCCAATATCACAATATCAGGCTTATTCGCAAGAATAATCCTGTCCGTGATAATAGATCGATCCCAATAGACTTTGGTGCGGTCATCTTCGAGTATTGGCTCCGATGAATACTTCTAATATGGCAACCTCTGTTGCACTAGTCTGTACTTGAGAGCGAGCTCTTGGTGTAATATTTTGGCTGCCTGGTTGTGTCTGTGCAAGTACTCAGTGTTAGCAAGAGCGGAACAACCGGAAACAATATGCCTAAGTGACTCTCCGGGACGGCCACATGCCCGACAAATGTCTACTGTGCCATCCTTTAGGATATATTTCCGATAGTTCCGATAGTTATTATTATTATTAGGGTGGCTTCATTCAGGGCCTATGGATCCCCTCATCACTGCGACCATTGACTGATCTATTGTGATCACCACTATACATTGCAGAGCAGAGCCAAGGTCGACAGCATTAAAGAACTGAAAGGCCTTTCTGGTTCCGACAGATTTAATGTCCTCCGGTTGCGGCATGTGCCCTCCCAGTATGGAACTTCGTACGCCCATCAGGGGTAGCATGTTGTTAGTTACATAACCACTTAAGTAGTATAGTAGAGTAGGTGCCGCGTTGATTACAACCACTTAATTTTTATTATTCTTCGTATGTATTAAGCTAGGGTCGTAAAGTGGCCACTCACAGCACGATTGTCGAGTAACGATTCGCATCTATTTACTAGAATAGACACGATATGCAAATAGCAGCAGTACAGCTTCTTGTCAAAGTGTTCGTCCTGGGAAGTACTGCCACCTTACCTATTTCTGCCGCCGTGAGCGTTACAGCGTTTTGAATGCTAAGGCTGCTGGTGAAATTATGGGACTATAATCATATTATTTGACATTTATTTCTGGGTTACAAATAATACTGGGTTAGTAACTTGATTTCCCCGTCTCCCTCCTTTATATCAGCTGGCATTTTGTAAGTCATACTCACAGACCACATAAATATCATACTAGTAAAAATAACAAAGAAATAAAATAATTTTTATTTTAGATCGAAAATAATTCATATTTGTTAATATACAATTTTTTCTTAATAAACTAGGGACGGGACGAACAAGTCGACGACACGTCTACCCATAACAATTGCAGTGCCACTTAGAGCATTAAAACACAAATATATACGGGGCAAATACGCGGCAGCACTTCTCTGGACAAACTCTTTCACGAGGAGTTCTATTGCATTCGAATTCGTAATAACCTAATATTTTTTATTTGGCTTACAAAACTGATTACAGAGTTATCAGTTTTAACTAGACATGCTTAAATACAATCCGAATACAATGGAATCTACTAGATATAAGCACAACATGCGTATAATTTTCACGTAAATCTTACGAACTAATTTGGACTCGGGTAGCCCAATTTCTGTTTGTAAACTAAATTAAAAAACATATGAAGAATGTAACTTAGATATTTAAAAACAAAAAAGAAATGCAAAAAACAAGTGTTTTATAACTTACTTTTTTAATAAATTTTATTTATACATTTGGCTGACGACAAAGAATCACCGAAAATATGAGTTACTCCAACGGATTTTTGTCATCCAAGTACGCAGAAGTTGTATAATAACCTTTAGTATAAAGTTTTTGTTTCACTATAGTTTTAAACCCGTGAAAGGTTAATTTTTTGTATATCAATGGGAATCTTCTTATAGAAGCGTGTACATTGCCACTTAAATCAATTTGTGACTTTGTGAAGACGACTGTCAAGATTGTAGTTTATTTTTATTCCTCGTATTAATGTTGTGTCTGTCACTATTTTCCATAAAGAAATTACTATTCCTTTTAACATAAATTACATTTTCATAAATGTAGTGTGAGGCTAGTGAAAGAATGTTAATTTCCTTAAACTTATCTCTCAAAGATACTTTGGGGCCCAGATTGTAAATTGCCCTAACCGCACATTTCTGCAGGACAAAGATTCGGCGGCATTGCCCCAAAGCAAAATGCCGTATGTCATTAGACTGTGAAAGTAGGTGAAGTAAACCAATTTACTAGCAGCGTGGCCTGCCCCCGATTCAGAACTCTTCGATATTTTTACCGGATCGTGCGATTGGATATCGTTCTTGAATCGAAGGGCGCTTTCCGAGCTATTCAGAACGTTGGAGATAAACTTTCGATTCGGAGTCGGAAACGATATCGTTATCCAACAGCGTTTACGGAGTTAGTCGGTGAAATAGATTATAAGAAAAATGAAAATCATTTTATATCCATTTTTAAGACTTTAAAGGCCTAAAATAGATGAATGCCTTAGTCTTGCATTAAAATAAATTAATACAAATCCAGACTTTATTTAAAATAATAAGAAATTTCCATATTACGTGCTTGCTTTGTAAACAATGGGACGTTCGGTAACTTTAGTTCCATGACTGTGTTCTGAGTAACGTTTGTGGCCTTTGCCGGTCGAGAAGCTCGAGTAATCGTATGGGTGGGTCGTCATTTCGGCTCGGTTTCGAGTACAGCAGTTTGTCGTTCGATTCGGGTGTTGTGAATAAAAATGAAAAGAAATCGTACGATGTCAAATCGAATCGGTCGACAACTCAGTTATCGTAAGGTTCTGAAACGACCTACTCCACGGGGCAAAAGGGCAAGCAAGGCTCTAAACGTTGGACAGAAACGTGATAGAGTCGTCAGGGTCCTTGAGGGCTTTCCTGGGCTACGCCGGTGCTAGCTCATTTAGCGTCTGGATGCAATCGATCGATGCATTCAAAATGGAATACTTGCAAATGGTGCAATTATAAATGATGTTGGGAAGCAATGGTCCGTTTATTTCACTTGCGTCGCGAGTGACGCAAGCTCTTTGGAGGTGTCGCGAGCGACGCTCGGCGTCCGCTAAGACTCTGCGCCATAGTAAAGCCGGCACTGCCCTTGGACTGTAACCTTTGTACGATGTGTTAGGCCGTTTCGTGACTTGCCGGTGTGGTAGCGAGGCGGCACCAAAACCT